TAATCTGATATTGAAGACAATGATGGCCATTGTGGCCTCACCATGAAGGAGGGCAGTAAAGTCATTGCTACATGATCAAAGATGGCATCATTCCCAGAGTTTCTGGAACTAGAGGTCATAACCCCGCTGTGAAGAAAGGAGGGAGTGAGAGCATATATTATTACAGAGTTTATTTATAAGTACTAGGTTTATATACACATATATATGTGCATGTGTATATTTATATATATAAAACCCTTCTCAGAACCTGACTTCTATTTCCTTTTACAATAAAGAGGGTGAGAAGTTTCTTCTATAAAGGCTGTGACTTCAGTGCAAGTACAGCTACTAGTCTGAGAATTGGCTCCAGAACTTGATGAAATACTAAGGATTTCTCATGGAAGGACCTGAGATGGAAGGGAGAGATAAAACCGTAAGTCAGATAGATGTAGTGTTTATAGTTCCTTCCTTACCTCCACCGGGTGGTGTCACATAATATTACAGAGTCCTTTTGCTGCCCCTAGAACTGGGGGAAGGGAAGGCAAGGGCTACCATGGAACCAGGGGGAGCTTATACTGACCTGAGAATTGGGACTTAACAACTGCAACTTCGAACATTACTAGAAGAAAATCTACTACTGTACAATATTGCTAAAGTGCAAAGTTTTCTGATATATAACTGGAATATTTGAAATGGAAGAATCATTGAGTAAGTCCACAAGTCTTAAACTCATATATGAAAATCCTATTCTACAGGTATTCATGGTAGCAGCATTAGCCAAAGAAGTGAGGAAACTGGAGTTAATCTTCAAATAGAAACATCCTATTTGACAGTCTAGAAGCATCTGAGGTATCCATTGAGCCTTTCTTTCTCTTCCCACCCCATGAGACTCCCTGCAGAGACCTGGGACCACCACTGTAAGCAGGCTGTGGCACATCGCTCCACAAGGTCACAAGCATTTTGTCAGATCTCCTCTTCTAGTGGCCAGTATCACAGAGAATGACCAGTCAGGTGAACCTAGAAATGTTCAGATTCTATAAAACCAGACTGGGAGCTGGGCAATAAGCCAAGGAATTTTATAGAGGCAAAGTCTCCCAATGTATCCTCAGTTACTGGAGAATGAGTGCGGCAAATTTCTGAAAATCTAACAACTTCAATTTTGGAGTCTGTGAATTACTCTATGAGCAATCTTTGCACAAAGATCAAGTGCCCAAGAAAGCCAAAAGTCCAATTAGTGTTTTCTTGATGCCAACAGCATCCTGTCCTACCCTTCCATGGTTTTTAACCTGCTACTCCCATCTTCCTGTAGATGAGATTACCAATCTACTTTCAAACAGTTGTAGCTGCTTCTATATCTCCGCACTCAGTAATCGTGGGATCACTTGCCAATCTTCAAAGTTTCATGAGTGCACTTTTGTTTGAACACAATTGACACACTAGGGAACTTGACATAATGTGAATTATGTTTCACATATATGTGATTCCACTTTCATTCTCAAGAAATAAAGAAAACATAAAAACTGCTGGCTGAACCAAGCTAAGTAGGAAAACCCAACATGTATACACCTCAAGTACCTATCATATACCTCAGTTTATCAGTTATGTTGTAAATCACACCCACATCTGATATCACAACTTTTCACCCAGTTTCAGATAAACCTCCTCCACTGCTTCACAATAATCCACAGCTGCTTCCAACACTTACTTCCACAAAGGAACAGCAGATTGTTTTCAAGACAAAATATTGGGGACTGGTATTGTGACATAGCAGGTAAAGTTACTTCCCGCAACACCAGCATCCCATATGGGTATCAGTTCAAGTCTAGGCTGTTCTGCCTCTGATCCAGCACCTTGGGAGTGGCTTGGGGAAAAGTAGCAGAGAATTGTCCAACTACTTGGAACTCTGCCAACCACGTGGGAGACCCAGAGGAAGTTCCTGTCTCCTGGCTTCAGCCAGGTCTAGGACCTAGACCTCATCATTGTGGCCATCTGAGGAGTAAACCAGCAGATGGATCTCTCTTTCTCGCTCTCTGAAACTCTAACTTTAAAATAAATAAATAAATCTTTAAAGGAAATTCTTTTAAAAAGTCAAAGTATCATATTTGTCAGAGTATTCATGTACTTTCAGCTCGTTTTACATGTGTAAAACAGTCCTGCCACTTTCACTGGGTTTCTAACTTTTAAAAAAAAAAAAATGTGTCACTGATATTACTAGTAAGCTAGGATTTTTAATGCTTTCACCACAAAGATGAATACTTGACTGAATGAGATGTGGGACAGACTGGACGAGTCTGCTGTACAAACTGGCAAGTACATGAACCACGGCAAGGGGCGGGCCTCGTGGAGGTTAGTGTGGATCACTCCACAGGCTGCAGCTTCCACTGGTTTATGTGAGGGAAGTGTGTGTGGTGGGCAGGATAGGGTTGGACTGCAACACCCATGGGTTCCTGTGGAAGACAGGCTGAAAACAGAATTAACCCAGCAATTGCAATCACTAGCATGTTCATAAGCTGATAAGGGTGACAGACTGTGCCAGACTGACTCTGTATTGGCAAGCACACACAAGAATCTAATCTGGGATCAACTAAGACGAAGTTTCTTTGGGGATCCCTCCAACCGAACTGCTGATCTCAGAACCCCAACCATGAAGAGAAGTGCAGGTTCCATGGTCTGACCATGAAGTGCATGTGTCAAAGCTGAGCCTCCTCAGAGACTGAGACAAAACAGTGGACAGCATATCCATGTGTACATGGAGGATATGGCGGTCCATCCGAACCTGCAGAGGACATCTGGTACCACAGCCGAGGACAGAGGACAAAACAAGTCAATCATCTATCCCAGCCATGTGTTGGCAGTGAAAATCTGGACAAACGAAGATGCTAAGGTGGACTCTGTCAGCCAGTGGATTCTGGGGAGAGTACATCATGCTTGGAATGGTGAGATTGCAGCAATTCATAACCGTTGAACTATCAAAACTGCTTGAGCAGGACCCTCGGAGCATGCCCCACATCGGGGACCTGGAATGGGTGGGAGGCTGGGTGGGGCTTCTCCCTTTATCCTTCCCCTTACCCCAGATACAAGAAAAAAAAAATAATGTGTTAACAATCGTCTTACCCACTGTCCTGTAGCCCCTGACCCTTTGTGCCCTAATCAACAATGTAAAGATTATCAAAATAAAATAACAATTAAAAATTGAATTATTGAGGTAAATAGGTTTACTCTTATTTGTATACTACACAGCACACACATGCTATGAACATCATGCAGTGTCTCATAAAGATGTACAACATTTAGGTGTTGATTTTAAATTTTGTTTTAAATGTACCACTGAAAAGGGGTTTTGGATGCTGTGCCCCATCCTTTTTCCAATAAGCCCTGTGGATTTCATTGTTTGATTTTTGCAAAGTGTGGTACTTTTAAGGGTACGTCTCTTTATATCAAAAAGACTACTCATAAACTTGTAGTTTTATATCACTCACAGAATTGTAAGAAATTCATTCTGTTCTTTATGGACACCTATAGCTCCTGAATCAATAGCAACCCATTAGTCATCAAAAGATACTTGGACTGGCCATTCTCTATCATATGTGAAAGCAGAAATTATTTATTCATACCCAACTACATGGTAGGTCTTATAGTAAGCAATGGAGATACAATGGTTAATAAGATGCAAATCCTTCAACTTTTTCAAACTAGAGAGCAGACACAATAAAGTGGGGCAGCTGCTATTGTAAAATGAAGCAGGGTCTCGCTCTCTCCCTAACTCCAGGGACTCGGCAAAGACCCTGCCCCCCCAGGGGAAGTGATCCTTTTCCTCAGGGTTTTCCTCTCTGTATTCCTGATGTCTCCCTCTTTCTCAGTTACCAGATCCATCCACACTGAGTGAAGATGCAGACAGGGAAGAGTTAATTGTATACAGGGATTATGGCCCTGAGGGAAGCAAGTAGAACAGCCACTTAAAGGGCCCCACGGGCACCAGACAAGACACAGAGAAGCTGCTCCCACTCAGGGCACAGACTCTTCCCTGAGTCAAGCCCTCTGCTATTGATTGCGTCCTCATTCCTGTATCCATCCAATGTTCAGGAAGATCCTGCTGGGGGCAGGATTCCAAGTTGGTTTACTCACCCTGCATCCTATGCAGAGTGCCTCTTTCCAACATATCAGTGTTTCTTCATATGGCTGAGTTGAGTGACATTTCCTGCCTGTCACTTTTACTTCCTACCCACCTCTATCTACTTCACCAAGAATGAGTTAAAGACTTTCATCTGGATCAAGAAGGAGAAGGATGCAGAGTTCCCTTCCTTGTTGCCAGATCTTTTGCCATTGCTCCTCGTCCCCAGCTCCTCATCCATCACGAAGTTCACCATATTGTAAGAACCTACACCCTTGAATACTTATCTGTCACTCAAGGCTTACAGTTTCACTCTAAATCCCACCTGCCTCTCACTCTTTGTCCCTTCCTATCTGCTTCCTTTCTGATCAGAGGGTCGATGCCCATAAATGTTACAGCTGAGCAGCACTTAAGATCATTGTGCCTACCTCCACTGTAGAGCTAAAGCTGAGGCCCAGAGATCCTAGCCAAGGAGACAGCCAAGGACAGGACAGCTGAGACCTGATTTGCTTCTAGCACTGGCTTGTTCCACGTATTCAGACAGACTGTACTCAGATCTTGAGGTAGGAGACCTCTCATCTCAGCTGACTGCCAACTGGAGAAAATGACTATACTACATACTATAGCTGTCACTCCCTTGCTCATTACCTCTTTCTCACCATCACTATCCAATTTCTCCTACAACACTCATGGGATTTTAGGAGCAGACTCTCCCATCCTAAGACTGTGACCTTAACCATCCATCCAAACCCAGAACCAAAGGTTACAATCCTGTGATCCTGCAGTCCTGTACTACCTCCTCACACAAGCCCTGGGAATGAGTTTGTGCCACTGTGACTTCCTTAAATCTTCCTTTTGCCCTTTATGCCAGGAATCATGTCCCCATGAGCCTTGTAACGTCATTCCCTACAAGATGGCAGAAACTCCACTGCCCAATTCCACCTTCCTGCGTCCAGACTTCTTCACATTGACTGGCATTCCAGGGCTGGAGGGCGTCCAGGCCTGGTTGACACTGGCCTTTGGGCCCATGTACCTGCTGGCACTACTGGGTAATGGAGCGCTGCTGGCAATAGTGCGGATAGACTCCACACTTCATCAGCCCATGTTTCTACTTCTAGCTATCCTGGCAGTCACAGATCTGGGCTTAGCCACATCTATAGCCCCAGGGTTGCTGGTTGTACTGTGGCTTGGCCCCCAACCTCTGCCATATGCTGTCTGTCTGACTCAGATGTTCTTTGTACATGCACTGACTGCTATGGAATCTGGTGTGCTTTTGGCCATGGCTTGTGACCGTGCTGTGGCAATAGGACGTCCACTGCATTACCCTATCCTAGTTACCAAAGCCCGTGTGGGCTATGTGGTCCTGGCACTGGCACTGAAAGCTGTAGCTATTGTTGTGCCTTTCCCTCTGCTGGTGGCACGATTTGAGCACTTCCAAGCCAAGACCATATGTCACACTTACTGTGCACACATGGCAGTGGTAGAGTTGGTGGTGGGTAACACACAGGCCAATAACTTGTATGGGCTAGCACTTTCATTGGCTGTGTCAGGAGTGGACATTCTGGGCATTACTGCATCCTATGGACTCATTGCTTATGCTGTATCACAGCTGCCTACCTGGGAAGCTCGTGCCAAAGCCTTTGGTACGTGTAGTTCTCACATATGTGTCATTCTGGCCTTCTATGTGCCTGGTCTTTTCTCCTATCTTACACACCGCTTTGGTCGTCATACTGTCCCAAAGCCTGTGCACATCCTTCTTTCCAACATTTATTTGCTGCTGCCCCCTGCCTTCAACCCCCTCATCTATGGTGCCCGCACCAAGCAGATAAGAGATAGACTCCTGGAAAGCTTTACCTTCAGAAAAAGCCAGTTCTGATGGACAATGATAAGAATGGAGCATGAGGGTAGGTGGATACTCACGGTAGATTCTGGGGGCCAGGAAATTGTTCCAGTGTACACTGCTCACATGTCTAAACTTTGGCCTACCCATGTGTCCTAATTGGAAGGAGGGCAAAAGGTAGAGAAGGAGGACTAGATATTACCTTTCAAGGAGAATGAAGATGGATGGGAACTAGTTAAGATCATAATAAGAACCAATCCATACCTATTTCCAACATTTCAGCATGTCTATCTGTGCTGCCACATAACAACTTGTCTCAAACATAAAGGCTTGGCACTGTCACAGAGATGGTGCTGAGTCCAGAGGCCAGTGCTTGAAAACTGCCCGAGATGTTAGAGCCAAATTTTGTTTCCTGCCTGTTGTCAGGGGAGGATACAGGTTTAGCCCTGTGCCTCTAAGAATCTGAATAATATGCTCTGTGGTGCCAATTTGGCCAGAACACTGGTTTTTTTTTTAACATTTATTTATTTTTATTGGAAAGTCATATATACAGAGAGGAGAGACAGAGAGGAAGATCTTCCGTCTGATGATTCATTCCCCAAGCAGCTGCAACAGCTGGAGCTGAGCCAGGAGCCAGGAGCCTCTTCCAGGTCTCCCACGCAGGTGCAGTTTCCCAAAGCTTTGGGCTGTCCTCGACTGCTTTCCCAGGCCACAAGCAGAGAGCTGGATGGGAAGCAGGGCTGCCGGGATTAGAACTGGTGCCATATCGGATCCTGGGCGTGCAAAGCGAAGACCTTAACCACTATGCTATCGCACTGGGCCCCACAACACTGGTTTTCAAGACATCCAGAGGATGCACTTGGTCTCCAAAAGAAATTACTATTCCCTGTTTCCTCTAGGCATACAACTAGAACCTCTTACTGGGCCTGTAACTTCAGAGACAAGGGAGTTCAATTGAATGACATATTGACAGCCCAGAAAACTGTTACAATCGCATCATCTGCTTGCCTGAAGTTGAAGCTCTGTGGCCTCTAACCAATTTACCCTTCTATGCACCCTCAGTCAAAAATGTGAATCCCAAATAAAACCTGCAAATCAGCCCCCTTGTTCACAAGAAACACGTCAGTATAACAAGATGAACCAGGAGTATTTCTTGCTACCATAGCATAAAGATATTAAATATGAAAATCACGGTGTTGTGCAACAGCTGATACATTTTTAGCCAAGACTCCCCATTGAAAGGGACTAAACATAACAAAAGGTCTTCCAAGATCAGTTGGAGTTCAGAGTCAGTCTATCAGGCAGAAGACAGGGAGTGACTGCTAAGACATCAGGGAAAGCTGTAAGCTATACAGCAAATCCCAAGTCTCCAGGAAAACTGAACAGCAGTTACTGCAGACTTAGTCAGGAATACCCTAGCCCACTTAGCTCAGGTAGCTGGATCTAGTAGCAGAGGTTGACTATAGATCTGAAACAGCAAAGGATGCCATCTGCAGAGCTACGTGGAATCTCACCAGATCCTCATTAACAAAGGACTCAAGCCCAGAAGCTCTGCATCAAGTTCAGGAGTTATCACATCGAATCTGAGTGGATCAAGAGGAAACTATTATCAACTCAACTACGGCCACAGCCATTGGTACGACTGACTTTTTCTTCAAGCTCCAATTAAAAGCACTCCGAGCAATGAAGGTATAGATGACTGGGACAAAATACTGTTGACTGGGTCACAAATCTTGAATATGTGCATATCCTCTTTATTATTTTTAATGAGTTTGTCTTGAGAAAGTAAATGAGATGGGAACGGAGATGTATGCAGTAAGATATTTATTACAACATTATAAAAAGAAATGTATGTGCAATAATCCCATGTCACACATACACACACACACTTTTCTTTTTGTTGTTGTTGGCCTTTCCCCTGATACATAAAGAGGAAAATCACATGCAGTCACTGTTCACACACAATGAGCTCTTCTACCTTCCCATCTTAGGAAGACTCCTCTAAGGCACCTTCAGTTGCTGGTTTTGTAGGTTGTCCATTTTCAGAATCTTGTCCTCCAAGTCAAAAAATCCACCGGCCTGAACACTTTTTTTCCCCCTGGCTCAGGAATGCATACATGTCAATCATGTGATATGTTCACAAAGCTCTACCATCCGTCCGTCATTCCTCATAATAACCCGAGAATTCATTATAAGCCCACAATTGCTTACCTGCAATTCCAAACCTTAAAAACCTCTAAATAAACAATTTTTTCTCATTACTTTGGCCCAAAATCTGTCCTCAAGTGTTATGATCCAATTTATAATCTTTAGCTCTCTTAGTGTAACTATTCACATATTTAAATGCAGAAAATGTTGGTGTCTGATTACAAGGCACGGCCCTGAATTCCCCAGGATATTCCTTACTTACATGATATATGGACTATATTCTCTTTCTACAAGCTGAAAAATTTTAAATTTCAAAGCATATGTCTCCAAAAACTTTCAAATAAGGTTTTAGGGACTTGTACAATTATCCTTGCAGCCTGAGAGAAGTAGACTTACTGGGGCTCTTTGTCATTCTAGTGTCATCTGTATCAACACACGTCATACTGCTGTGCAGTTTCATGTGGCAAACCTCAATATTACCTGGAAAAACAGATCCATATCTTGGTACCCCTCATGTTATCCACTCAGGTCACCCTCAGATTCCCTGCAAACGAGATAGGCCAGAGTATGCCACACTGGGGACAAACAGCAGTAGTAGGATACAACCCAAATGGCACCCAGAATTCAGTTGTCATGTTTTCCTTCAGTAACTTTCAGACTCAGACTCTATGAGCCAAAAGACAGAGTTGCTTAATGTCAGGGTAGAGCAGTGGTGCAATTATGAAGCCTAGTGAATCACGGTCATCAGACATTAAGTGAAAGAAACCAAACAGTGTTAGCTGGCTGAGGAGTGCATCAGTGCCCATTTCTCCTAAAACGATTCTCCTCAACCTATATCACCAACAGCCCATCAACCCTGCACTTACCTCAGCCATTCCTTTCTCGTTCTGGAATCGCCTTAGGATCTGCATGTGTACCATGCTCTGTTGCTGTTTATCAGCTCATTGTAGCTGTACCTTTGCATCTCTGTCTTCTTGCATTGCCTGTCAGGTACATATATCTTGTCCTTACGTACACTTCTTCTTCATTCTATCTCTACCTCAGAATTCCTTTCTGGACAGAACAGAGGTACCAACTGAACTGTACATCTAGTGATATCTTTGCCAATCATAACAGTTTTTAAAGAGTGCTAAACTAGGAAGGAATATGGTTTCACTTGCCTTAACAGGAAACTTGGGTTTCTTTGGTCTGTGTGGCTCTTCTCTCACCCTGCCCACTCCCTTTTCACTAACGCACTCTATAGCTTCCATCTAGCATGTACTCTTCCCACCATACTCTAAAGTACTGGAACATGTTGGCTTCTACCTTCACCAAAAGGAACTACTGTGTAAGGGTTAAAGCTGGACTCAAACAGCCTTTGGTTTGAATTTTGCATCCTCTTTTAATCCACTGAATGCCTAGGGCTAATTATTTAACCTTTATAAGCCTGCTTCTTCACTTGCAAAAAGAAGCAGTAATGGCATCTAACTCAAGAGGCTATTTAAAGGATTAATCAAGATAATTCATTCAAAGTGCATGGTACAGCCCCTAGCAGAAATGAGCTCAATAAATATTTGACATTAATTCCTCTCCTGGAAAACAGAATCACACTCAAACATCCAGCACTCACACTCTTAGCTCTAACGAGACCTGCCTTCCCCTGAGGACAGTCACATCTCCTTTAGGAAACTTTACCCAACACTCTCCTGTTACTGCAGAACCCTTGGCTGTGCTGCCATATTCATGCTATCTCAGCCAACTTTGTGGGATAGCTCTATGAGATAGGGAAAGATAGTCTCTACGCACAAGGTGTATTCCTGAGCACAAAGGAAACTCGGAGGGAGGACTCTGAAAGTCAAGGTGCAGAGTGAAAATGTAGCTACTGGAAAGGTCTCCAGAATAACTACACTTCTCCAGCAAAACTGTAGGTTGAGATCTTTGACAAAGACACAGGGGCAGATAACCTATAACTAAGAAATGATGTGAAAGAGAAGCTACTGGACACAAATAAGCCTAGGACAGTGAGTGGAACACAATGAAAATGTTCCTCAAATTTACATTGGTAAGTTACAGTTTCCTGAAAATTTTCTTCTGTTACAAAGGCAACATTAATTCCAATTAGATTCTTACAATACACACTGTCATTGTGAGGCACAGCACCCTCCTACACACACACTGCAATTTGTAATCCACTTGTTAATAACATGTTTCAACCTAGGCTGTAACATTAAATTTATTTTAGGAGCCTTAAAAAGTTTCGATACCCAGGTATACCCCCATATCAATTAAATCAGAATCTCTGGATATGAGATCCAGGCATCAATAATTTTTAAAGTTCCCAGTAAATTTCAAAGTATAACCGTGGTAGACAGCCACTGTTTTGGTCTTAGTGTTAGTCCTGCCTGATTCCTTCCACATCCTTCAGATTCCTGGTCCAAACTCATCATCTGTAACTAACACCTGACCCCGTCTCTTTAAAGAACTCAGTCTAAGAATTCCTACTCCTGTGACACCCCACCCTCTCACACACACACACACATACTCTAACAAATACCTGCATTTTCCTCTCCTCAAGCAGAGGAGTAGGTAGGTGACTCGAAAGTATGAACCACAGGCTGTAGTGAGGTAAAGTCCTCTCCCCACCTAGGGGCTCCATCACCTAGCAGGACCTCTATGACCTCATGTTGAATAGGTCAGGGGCCAAGGCCTCGAGCCTAATCAACCTGGGCAGCTTGGGGTTCCTGCAGCAGCCACTACCCTGCCCAAACCCTCCCACTCCCCAGCCATGTTGGTTGGTACCCCTCACCTGCTAACACTGGATGAAGCTGATGCCACATGGACCCTCATCAAAGATAAGGTGGGTAAACTAAGGAGGCTAAAAAAAAAGTAACAAAGTGTGACCTCAGTGAATCTGACTAGCTTGTGAGTAGAGAAGAAAAATATCTAAAGGCAATAATAATTGTCTACTCAGTGTATACTTATCAACCAGGCACTACAGTAAAGTGCTTTGCAAAAACTGTCCCATTAAATCACAATTGCAAAAACAGAATGTTCCTTCAAAAGCAATGTTCAGGGAGCTAGGAGAGCAGAAATGAAAAGCACTAGGTCACTATGGGTGAATGAACGGCATACAAATATTAAAGGTACAGCATATAGTGAAAACTAGGAAAAGAAAGAAAAAAGTGTGTTATTTGTGAACTGCAAATACTCTTCTAGAGCAAAGCTCAGTGGAGTAATGATAATGAGGCCAAAGAGATGTATGAGTTGATAATGAAAGGCTCTTAAGCTTCCTAAAGAACCTAAACTTTACCTCAAACCCTTTCCATATCATCTCTCTACCTACTTTCCTACTGATTTCTGATAAACTGGGTTTCACTCTAACATAGAGTTTAAGAAGCAGGAAGATTTCAGCAGTATTTGGGTTGTAGGTACCCAGAAGTTTCACCAAATTATTTGTTAAATGAAAGCAAGATATCCAGAAATTACTCAGATTTTGGGTTCTGTCTCAATGATCCGAAGGAAAATGAATTTAAGGCATTCGTAGAAACCAGCTCAAAAGCTTAAACTATTTTAAAACAATATATACACCAGACTAAATCTGCCCTAATGGCATATAGCTCCCATTTGTTGGAAAATTTTTCACCATGAAGGCCAGCTTCTTAAGCAGAAACAGGACAGTCAATTTTCCTACTGTAGTAACACTTTCTTTGGGCAGAAGGTTGGTCCTGGGCTGGAATTAGTGTTTAAGGAGATGGTGTTTTCTACTGATTGAAAGCCACACAATCAGAAAAAAAAAAAAGAAAGAAAAAAAAAAAAAACCTATCTAAATAGAAACATATTTAAATGGAAAGTTAGGGTAGAACACTGTGTATAATAAATTTGTGGTGCAACGTGGCAAATTAAAAAGAGCACCTTTGAGTGCATGGTTTCCTATTTCCAGAACTGTTGAAAGCTCACTTACGTACTTTGAAAACATTTGGTTCAACAGAACATGACTCCTACAGCTCTCCACTTGGAATTCAAAGCAACCAAGGTACATCTAGGAAAGCAATTTTCCACCATCACTTTCCTACACTGCCCCTGGGTAACTTAAATATATAGGCCTCTATGGTCTATAGAACTTCTATCCAGAAAAAGTAAAGTTCAATAGGAGTAGGAAATGCTCTCAAATGGTGACTCTACCAAGAACACCAAGAGCACAGTCAATGTTGCAAAGAACTAAGCAACCGAGTCCCCTTACTTTCCCCACCTTAAACATGAGGGCCTTCAAGGGTAAGAAGGAGGACCTACCAAACCTCCATGGCAAATTAATCTTCAACGAGGTAGACAATAAAAACCAGGTATTTCAAATGTCACACATGTATTGAAGTGCTCTCTCTAGAAGACACATTTGGCCTATTTCTTCAGGACCCTAGAGGCCAAAGAAGCAGCTAGAATAGCATTCTGAATTCGTGTTTGATGAATATGCTATCACTGTCACAGGACAAAGTAGTCTATACAAAAATGCTAACCAACAGGGTTCTGCTCCTACCTCTAGAAACTCCACTGGCCCTTCTCAGAACCTTCCTCTTCAGCTTGATACTCCCTACGCAAAAGAAAGTGCTCCCTAGCTCAGTGAGGCAAAGTACAGGGAATGAGGTGAAACTCTTCCATACAGATCAAGAAAGAGCACCAGTTATTTCCTTGGCCAGGTGACAAAAGATGGTAGTGTTCAAACTACTTCATCTCCATATTGCAGTTTGCCAACTCCACTAGTTAGCCAGTCTCCTTGTTAGGAGGCAACACTTCACAAACAGCTTTATGGATCAAATATCAGGTCAGCCTTTTGAGGAAACCACTGAGTAAATTTTACCAGAACAGGAGGTGGGCAGTACCATCAGAGGGGCACAGTTATGGGATTTGTGGTCAGGAAATCAGGAGAATATAACAGTTTAAGCATATAGGGTTCAAATAGAGAAGGGACCCAAAAGAACTTTCAGTTGCCCTGGCTCCCCAGCATTACAGAGAGCCAACCAGAAGTCTTAGCCAACAACACCTGAATGAATTGAGATCAAAATGCCAAAGTATAATTACCAAAAAGAGTATTAATAGGTTCCAGGTTAGTCAGGAAATGTGTTCCAGACTAGGTTACCAAATCCAAAAACATCAAGACACTAGTGTTACAAAGAAACCTCAAATTCCCTAAAAGAAATGGCCCCTGCTGCTGGAGGAAAAAACAATGCTAAGATAACAGCCATAGGTTACAGGTAAGAAACAGACATTCCAAACACATTTGTTACCAGTCTCATAGGAATTATTTCAAGGATTGCTTTCCCCACTATATTTAAGCATGAAAATTCCACTAAGTATCTTACACACACATCCATGTATATATATATATACACACACACACACACATATATATATATGTGTATATACATATACATGAGTGTGTGTGTGTATATATATATAAACACATATATCTTCCCCTGTTGTTTTCATTTAGGGCTTTACCATGTCTTGCTTGGAGTATCACAATGCTCTTAAATAACTGATGTTTCATCTTATGCCTTTGTATTAAAAATCAGTTTTCTAAATATTTTCTGGCCCCATCCCTTCTAGCCAGAACCCTTCAAGTAGCTTCCCATTGCCCTCAAGATTTTAGTACAAATACTGGACTTTTATAATATAGTTCCTGTATTTTTCTTCATAACCTACTTGTTTAGTAATACGGAATTTTGTATTCCCAAAGGTACTCCTCTTGGTTTGTCAGTTAAGGTCTTTCATTGGTTGTCCTCTCTGCCTAGACTGACCATTCTCCTACCTGGTTCATTCCTTCAAAACTCAAGTATTACCACCCAGACACCTGCTTTGATCCACTTTCTATCAAAGACAAAAGCTGTATAATCATGTTTCCCTCTTTCTTATTTTGTTCTCAACCATTTTACTTGACTAATTACTGTTTATATTCTTACTTCCTTACGGGAATAAGCTATACTAGGAGAAGAAATGCCTCTGTTATGTATCCTAGCATCTGGTATAGTCTAGTATATGCAAGACATTCAAAGTTTTGATACAGGAGAAAACAGGGAGATAAGCAGGAGTGTGAGCCTGAGCATACTGTAGCATACTGTAGAAATGTAATTGAATAGACAGCAGAGGGAGGGTCAGTCTAGAGCGTACTATCAGTTAAATGTTAACTCTAAGTCAATCCCTAATCTATAAACTGGCCACCTGCAGGTCATTGAGGAGCGCTTTGGGTCCAATGTAGTGGCGGTACCGTTCCTGTCAGATGCAGCCTGCTATGACCTACTGGGTGTGCTGGTGAAACAGTCCCGCCCAGCCCACACCCGCCTGGCTTTGCCAGGTCGACAGGGTCGGAGGGCACTGAAACCAGTGGGGCCTCTGCCAAGCCTCCTGGAGCAGGCAGGATCTGAGGGTGCCTTTGCCCACTGCACTCGGGAATACTCACCAAACGGCCGGGCAGAGATTGCCTATGAAGAGACGCGACTGTTGGATGGGCAGCCCTGCCGGATCCGCCTACATATGGGTGGCCTACGTAAGAAGATTGCCTTCCTGCTGCTGCCGCCAGGGCAGGTGAGCTTACAGCAGACTCTCCCCTGGCTCCGGAGCATCCACAGCATTTATGTTATCTACCAGGTCTTCTCCTGCTCCTGGCTGCAGCTGGGACTGTTGCCCACAGCCAGTGAGCCCCAGCTGCTCCGGTTACAGCGGTCACTACCTGTTGCCTTTTCCTGCCTCAAGTTTTCATTGCAGCCCAAGGGTGTGCTGGGACCACAAAAATCTCTGACTAAAGACCCACTGCCCCATGGAGTCAACTGGGTCAGACCCAACCTCAGCATCATGACAACTCTGGCCCCCACATCAGCACCTGCTGATATCCCCGAAGCTGCTGATGTACCCCCACCTACCCCAGCCCCGCCAACACCTCCTCCCCAGGAAGGGCCAGAGGGAAGACCCACCAGATTCTCCTACAAGGGTAGAAACCTCTTCCGGAGGGGGCCCCAGATGCTGTCAGGTACTACTAGGGGAAATGAAAACAAGGGGAATGGATGGAATGGGATTGGGAGGATTGGGGTGGGGTGAGGGCATAGGGAGAAAGCCCTAGAATGTGTGGGAGCAGCTGTAACTCCACAGAATCCTGATGAGGAGGGTGGAATGTGGGAGACAGGGAGAACAAAATGGAAGCATGTGGCCTGGGCTGAGGGTTTGGGGATAGCACAGGGGACCAGAAGGAGGGACTAGGGAGGCAGAAAGACCAAAGCATGAGTCAAGCTGTGACTATCCCCAACCCTGGCAGAGAACTGGCTCTTCAGCCCCCGCAGCCCCCCACCAGGAGCCCAGGGTGGGGGACCCGGGGATCCCGACCGGCACTCCATGTCCCTGCCCCTGCTGCAGGGTCTGTCCTCGGAGTTCGACAGCGACGACTGAAGCTGAGGCAAGAGATGCAGGGGGCAAAGCCCCCAAGATATGACATAGGGATACTGGTCCCCAATAAACATCAGCTGCTGCTCCCCCAAACCATCCTGAGCCAATGTTGCTTCTTTTTCCTGGGGCCCAGAAGGAGGAGAATTCGCTTTTTCTCCTAGGCTTTAAGTGCCCTCACTCTCTCAGGGCCTAAGGATACCCTGAAACCCTGGTATTGAGGCCCTCCACCATGAGAGAGAAAGCATCCCTGACCACCTCCCCATCACATACAATCATCTTTAGGGCTCCAGCCCATGATAAAAGGGTAGGAAATAAGAATGAGCACAGAATAGAGATTTCCCTTTTATACATATTGCAACAAGTTCTCCATAAAACATTTATCTGAAATAAATTAAAAAGTCCTTTTGCCATGGCCTCTGAACATAAAAAGGAGCCTGTGCCCTGGCCCCAGCCCAGAGCACTTGTGGCACTGATTGTCCATGGAAGAAAGTTAAGGATTCAGGGGCCCAGAGCCTGAGGTGGGAGGGCCAGATCCCTCCTCTGAAGTATCCAACAAGAAAGGCGAGGTGACAGCATGGGCCTGGGATATGGCAGCCAACTCCTTGAGAAACTCAGGGAAAATGACTGCACAGTAGACAGCATTCTTGACTCGCAGAGCCTCACCTTGGCGCTCAGGGGCCCCGCCCCTGGCGGGTAGAACTGGAGTTGAAGTCCCAGGGGAGCCCCCACCTAGGCCAAGTCCTGCTCCGTCTCTCCCAGGCTGAAGGACCAACTGTGCCGCCTGCCGGGCCCTGGTTGGACTGTGTGCATGCCGCAGGAGTAACTCCCCCAAGGATGGCCTCCGGCTCTTCACTGGGAATAAACAGGGGTATCATGAAGGTGCTGGCATGAGGGAACCTCCCTAGGTATGGAAATGATATCCACCACCCTCCCTCCTGCCCCCAATACAAAGGATTCTTAGTTTTCTACTAGCGTACTAAGGGAATAGAAGATAAAATGTACATAAAATGAAACTCAAGCACAATTCCCTATTCTTCCTCAGAAGATAACCCTGAGGACCACAATGCGGAGGGGAATTCTTGTCCTAACACAAAAATCCTGCCTATCCAGCCTTTTTCCCTCATGCGGCCTCCCCATCCAGCCACTTGCCATCCTCAAGCTTAACCAGTCTACACTCCAGTCACTTCACTCCCAGTTAATACTCCTTCCTTTTCCATGTCTCTGCACTCAGAAATTCTCTATCCAAACACTACTCTGCCCACCAAGCTATTCATCTTGAGTCCACAGGCTTTCAGGCTTCCCATCAGCCTCCTAAACTAGAGCCCACCACTCTCAACTTGCCCTGCACAGCACAACACCTGACCCACATCCTCTGCCGCTTCAATGCTGACAGGAGCTACACATGCAGTTAGTTCAAAGACTGTTTCATTTCTGTCATGCTTCCCTGTCCCTCTAAGATCCGCTCTATTTCACCATTTTTCATTCACCAATCTCCATCCTATATTAACAAAGGCCACCTCCCAATGCTTGTGGCCAGATAACCTCATATCAGCTTAGAATCAAGTAAGTGATGTAAACAGTGTTTTCTCCCTTTCACTTTTCTGCCTACATCCCTGGATCTGGGCCCAAGAACATTACTAAGGCCTAGGTCATGCTAAAAGTTCCTATTCTTTATCCCTAAATGACTACAACGATGTTACTTAAATCTATTAACTGGCAGAATCTTTCACAATGCACAGTACATATGGCAACTGCTCAGATATTTGTTAAATGAAAAATCTAGATTCAGAAATTTGTGGTCATATTAATTCCTCTTCTTTCTTACATCTCAAAAGCACTCAAATGCAAGCATTATGCCAATACTTCATTCCATTCCTGTCTTACCAAGCTCACCTTTTAAATCTCATATGCCAACTACATGGTTCAAAATGTCTCTTGAGCAAAACTCTCACTTCTTTGCTTCTGTCCTACCCATCTCTCAAGATCCCATGACAAAAGTTCTTTGCTAAGCTGTAACAATATCTCAACCTAGAAACTACTATGTCCCCTTGCCTGTTCCCAAATCCTAGATCAGTTTTTGCCAGTACTGCTGATCAGGTTCTCAATTAGAATTATATTCTATCTTCTGACAAGAAGCCTGAGTTTTCTACAACTTCAGTTCCTAGTACAACGTTTTACCCTTAATAAGAACTCAATTTAACAATGGCTAGTAGGCTACCTAGGGAGGATAGAAAGACAGGCCTCACCTAGGGGATCAGAGCGGCGAGAGGCAGATCCTGTTGTAGGACCCTCAGACCAGTCCAACTTGCCACGGGCAATGAGGTACTTCTTGGCTTTGGATAGCAGTGCTGGGAAGTCCTCCTGGGAGGCTGCAAAGCTTTCAATCTTATTCTTCACAGAGCCCAGCACCTATGAAGCACAACTTCATGACATTTCTGGGTTGCTCTAGATTGACAGTCCTTTATATTCCCACTGGGCCTATTCCCAAACCACCCAAGGTCACTTCAGCCGTGGACCTAGCCCACCACAGAGCCTGGACGCACCCATGCATGCATGCATCGCACACCTGCAGCAAGGACTTGACACTGGGCTGGAAGACCATGTTGGTGTTGAGCAGGAAAGAGCGGAGCAGGGGCTGGGGATGACAGGCCAGCTGGGCCACCAGCCCCGTCAGCAGGAAGTTGACATAGACGGAGTTCTGCAGCATGTTCTCGAGTTTGGCAAAGAGCACAGCCATGAAGGGGCCTGGGAGGGGTAGGCACAAGGATACAAGGCCTGAACACAATGCACACAGCACGCATTCCTCCCAAAAATAAGAGATCCCCAAAAGATGAAAAATATTTGAAGTCTTTGGGTATATCTAAGTATTCTGTGACCACGGGAACTAAGACAACAAACAAAAACGGACCCCAAAGAGTCTAGATGCCAGCTTTGCACACACATGAGCTAAAGAGCCAGATCCTCAGCTCTGAAGGCACACAGATCTGGTTTCAGATTTCATCTTGTCCCTTTTACTAGTTACATTATTAGATAAATCAAAACTTCCCATGCTTCACTTTTTTCTTCGTAAAATAAGAATATACCTACCTCATGTAGTTAAAGAGAAATAAAAAGATCTACATAAGTGGAGCAATTAGGAAGATCTGGGAGATTTCACGTGTGAAATTATAAACAGAAGCTACATAATATTCATAATACTCAGTTTTTACAACAGCTTCACTCAAGAGATATAACAGAAGAAACAACAAGCAAAAAAAAAAAAAATGATCAAGACTGGGAAAAAAAAAACAGAAGCAGAAGAAAAATTCAGGTTCCAGAAGTCAGAATAATCTGCTGGGTTAGAGAGAAAGCAAAAAGATATGGTGAAGATCCCCCAACAGCCCCCAAAAAAGGTGATATACAACAGACTAATTAAACCTAGAAGAGGCAGGAAGAGCAGGAGGAATGGAATCTTTGAGGGAGCCAGGGGGAAAAAAACTAACTCTCTTTCAAGAATTGTGCATCAAACGTATCGAAAGTGGAACAGAATGGAAAGTAAAGGAATAGCTTATTCCAGGGCAGAGCAAATTGACTCAAGACAGACTCTGTTAGGAAAGAAGTGAATAGAAAGGATTATCATTTATTAGGAGAAACAGCCTCACCTAAATGGCATCACCAGTAAGACCAGAATCATCAGTCTTTCTGAACAGAGATTAAGCGAAAGCAGCATACCTAAGAACTGTACTATAAATTGAGACAGGAAAATAATGAAAGGCAGGAAGCAGTAAATACTGAAAAACTCGTAAAACATTTCTACTCCAGGTTCGTAGAACTAGTCTAGACTCAAAAACAATTATAAAGATAACAGGGTCCCAGGAGAATGCACAACTTTGTCATCCTGCTCCCCTTTCATATCCAAGGAATTTCTTGTAATAGACAAAAAGCTTAGATGAGTTTACCAAAAAATAGGAAGAAAGGAAGGGACCGAGAGAAGGGAGGAAAGGGAGAGGAAAAGGGAAGGAAAGAAAAGAAAAGAGAAAGGAAGGCTCTAAGATTACAGTGAAAACCTGCATGCCACCTCCTAGTGGCTCCAAGCAGGAACAAGCACAACAATCTAAATGAATGAGATAATATGCTTTTCTATAGCTGTAGTCTGTAGTGGACAAGTAGCTGGCATGACTCCAGGACAGAAGCCCTAGTACTGTAAGCAGAATAGTGAGTACACCCTGGGCCTAGTCAAGACACAGACCAATCACAGCATGACAACCTAACTACAAACAAACAGAAGTGTGGGTTTGCCTTGGTCAGCTTAAAGATACCATGTTCCCAGAGATGACCATCCTAGAGAAAAGCTGCCACCGTGCCAACACTGTAGTAAGTGATTTACATGCATCAGTGGCAGAGATGGGATGCTAACTTAAAGTACTTCTACTCTATAATCTGTGGTGAAGCCTTAGGCACTTAGGTTGTTCTCCTGTCCAGTGATGGATGACAGCTAGACTGGGCTGACTCTCAAACAAAAACAAAGAACAGTTTGCCCAACTAACCAGGGCATCATGACAAGCCTAAGAGAACTCAGCTTGGGAAAGCCCCAGAGAATTCAGGGTCATGCACTGTCATTTGCCCTCAAAGAAGTATTTCATGCTATCTGCTTCGATCCTTACAATTAACTGTAAGTCCCAAAAGCAGTCTCCCTAGGTAGTCATTGTTACCAAGAAGGTAAAGGAGTAACAGGAAAAAAAAAAATTGGGGATTAGATCATCTTTAAAAAGACAGGAAGGAAGGGGCTCTCAATAGGAGAAAAAGCACTGGAAGAGCTAACCCTGAGCAATGTGAAAATGACAGGAGATTCAACAACCAGACAAATATACTGGTGGCAACAGTACAAAGAGGGCTCACAGGTGCCTCTTACAGGGTAGCAGTCTTTGATATGGTTCTGATACATTGCTTTGATTGACCAGGAAACACCAAACATAGAACAACCTAATCACACATCCCAGGAAATGACCAGACTAGAAGAGGAGGAACATGCACGTAGGACAGACATACAAGGCTCAGACATCAGTCAATATTCAAACCAGCACAGGCATGGAAGACAGACACAGGGACACAGCATGACATGACACGTACCCGGAAAGGACTGAAGCAAAATGGATGAGAGGCTAGGCAAGAACACACAAATGACATAGCCAGGAAGTCTCAGATCCAGCACAAACAAGTCAAGAACATGCAAAGAGTACACAAGGGAGAAAGCCTAGGCTAAATAGCTTACCAGTGAAAGGCTGGCTCGGCAGTTGGTTTAGAGTCCGCAAAGGGCTGCTGAGGAAGGGGCCAGGGGGTTCAAGGGGACAAGTGAAGCTCTCGTAGGCCGCCTCCTCCTCAAGAGGTAGTGGAGGTTCTAAGGGGGGCTCTGAGACAGCTCCCCCATTGCTCAATGCCACCTCTAGCTCCCGGAGCTCCTGCCCAAAGCTTTCTAGTCCTGCCATGCCCTCCAAGGTGCCCTCTAGAAGTTCCCCAGATCCCTCATTAGGCACTGCATGTGGTACCAGACGAACCTTCTTGGGTCCCTCAGGCCATGGTCCTGGCACCCCATTGAGCTGGGGTGGGGGTAGATGGCCAGGACCCTCCCCTGTACCTCCAATTAGCCCCCTACTCCCCAGCTCTTCCTCCTCCCCTTTCCCCACTTTGTCTCTGCCCTCCTCAGGCAGTAGGCTGCGTTTCTTAGTCCGGGAGCCAACAGGACTGGGTTCAGGAGGGGGTCGCTCGCCATCATAAGGAGCAGACCAGGTTCGGCAGGCTCGCACACAGCGGTCCACACCACGGCGCGCCTCACGAAGATACTCCAGGTAATTGTCTTCCAGCTCACCAGGCTCCTCCACAGGGCTAGGCCGTCGGCCAGGACTAGAAGCTGGGGATGCAGCAAGCCCTGGTGAGCGAGGAGCTGGACCTGGGGATTCAGAGCCCCCCAGGCTCTGCTGCCGCAGGAAGAGGGCCAGACGAGATGGGGTGGAGGGCCGAGGCATGGTCACCACAGAAGAGGAGTCAATACTTGGGCTTCCAGGGCCTACAGAAGGAAAAAACATGAGAGGACTCAGACAGAGGTCCAAGGACAAAAAAGACATTTAGAGTGACTGAGATAAGGCAATAAGATGGCAAAAACATGAAACCTATTCAGACAGCTCATTCCAACCTCCAGGCTCTCTGTCCTTATTCACTGGCCTCTCTCACTATCACCACTAGAGAAACAACAGAAACAGGAAGAGTATAGGAAGAAAAATGAAGAAGAAATACAGCTTTGTCCATGTGTCTCAGTCTAAATTTCTTTGATGAGACCAGCAATGTTCCTTGTATTAGCGGCCTCACGTTCCCTGGCTCATTGCAAATAGAAATTAACAAGAGGTCAACATAAAACTCAGACAAGACTTATGCTCAAATACGAAAGGGCAAAGCAGGAAGAGGTTCTGCCAACTGGCTCCCAATGGGGAGCTGAACAGGTGCTTTTCTTGACTGGGGAGACACAGCCATCTCCCTTTGGCACACACACTTTGATCAGCATCTTGCTCAGAGTTGAGGACTCATCTCACGTGGCCCACATACTTTGGTTTGTACCCTGCTTAATGTTATACATAAGGGCTTTGTTTTTCCATGGATAGCATGCTTATAATCATAATGCTTCTCACTACTGCCCTCTCAGGAAGGTCACAAATGGGTCATGATGGATTATTTTGGGAAGCTGTGCAGACTGGAAGTTTCTACCAAGATCAGGAATCTTCTTGATTGGTTTACAGCAGCAGACAGATGCCATATGTCAGGATAAGGCCTGATCAGTGAGTCTTTTTCCTGTTCTGTCTCATAAGACTGCTCATCAATCTCCCGAAAGAAGAAATGTCACTCATGCCCACCTCCCTCCCCTCACCCTAGCCCTATATTCTTGCTTGACTCCCACAGAACATAGGCCATACCCGTGATGTCCTCCCTTCTCCCTGCCTCTCTGCTAGGCCCACCTCGTGCCCATGAGGCATGCTCTGGACGAGGTGGGCTGGGGGCATGGTGCCGACAACAGCGTGGGATTAGGGAGAGAAACTTGTCAGCTGCTCGTCCATATAGGTCCACATCACGCACAGCTGGCTTCTGACTCAGCATCACGTGGTTACATGGGACAAGATACCTGGGAAAAACAGCAGAAAAGAGATACAGGGTGGATCAGGAAGGAAATGATAGGGCCTAAGAGACCCACAGGCCAGTGGAACTAAATGGTTATGCCAGGCTCTAAGAGGACACTCATGAGCCACCTCATAAAGCCCAGCAATGCACAAGCCTTGAGGACTCTGAAGGTTCAGGGTCAGCCATCCCTCAGCCCTGCCCCGACAGGTACCTGAGAACCAGCTGCAGCAGGACATCCTCACAGCTGAGGTTCAGGAGGGTTCTGAAGAGACTCAGAGAGACCATGCAGAGCTGAGGGTGGGGAGGAGGGAGGAGTCACCATAAGGTCTCTCTACCCTCCAGACTATTTACCAAATGGGAGCCTCTCCCAGCCCCACACCCAACCAGCCACTCCAAGAGGAACAAACGCGTACAGTACAAATCAACAGTAGTCATTACAGTACTAACTAGATAGCATACAGTCCCTATGGGAAAGATTTTGTTATCCACCAAAAGGAATGAACCATGTCAAACCTGATGGGTTTCCACAGACCATTTTTCTATTAATAGATTCTCTGGCTATGGATACCTATTAACAGAGATTTTAGCAATACCTGAACAAAAACAGAGAAAAGAGACACTAAACAATACTGTTCCTGTGTGAATGACTAATAAGAAATAACAACATGGTACCTAAGTGAATGCCTGTCAGTGGGACTACAGCATCACAGTAACTACACACCTGCCAATAAGAAAACAGGAAACCTGGACAAAGTCCAACTGGGAAGTGGGTGGGGCTGTGAACATTAAGTCTGAGTCACCTCTCCAAAACCAGTGTATCTTTCAGAAGGTGGGATAAAGTTCAGGGTGGCTGGCAGGAAAAAGGAGAAGGGTAGTGGATCTCTGAGTGGGGAAACACCTGTAAGCTCTACCTCACTCCTCTGAATGTCCACAGCATTTTGTTTATAGTTCCTTTATGACAAATAGCTCAGATACCCTGGAGTCTCTCAAGACATCTCATGGGGTCTTAGTGTGTAGCACTACCTGCAAAAACTAATCTTCTTATCTGTTAAATGATTGGGAGAATTAAAAGTCAACCACATAATGGCTGGTGCTGTGGCACAGCAACTAAAACCTCCACCTGTGGCTCTAGCCATACAGAGGCATCGATTTGAGTCCCAGCCACTCCACTTCTGAAGCAGCTTCCTATTAATGTATCTGGGAAAGCAGCAGAGGATGGCCCACAAGTTAGGCTTCTACATTCATCTGAAAGACCTGGAAGAAGCTACTAGCTCCTGACTTTGGACAGGCTCAATCTAGCCATTGTAACCACTTTGGGAGTGAACCAGTGAATAAAAGACTTTCTTTCTCTCTCTCTCTCTCTCATGAATAGAAGACCTCTCTCTCTCTTTTTCATGAATAGAAGACTTCTCTCTCTTTGTCTTTATATCCCTCTGTCTCTCTGTGTAACTCTGCCATTCAAATAAATTCAAAAAGTCACCCACAAAGCAGAAAAAAGTTGAAATAGCAGTTCTCATTTTAGACAGCATGGATGTTCAGAGGACTTATTCTAAATGACCACTGTTAACTATCAAGGAAAAATCCAGGCTCACTGAAAAAGTAGTATGGAAGGTAGAAAAGCAGTCCCCTAAAAATATCCACATCCTAATTGCTATGACCTGCAAGCATTTTTCCTTATGTGGCAGGACTTCAGGACTTGACAGACATAACTGAGATTGTGGAATGTGAAATGGGGAGATTCCTAGATTATCTGGCTGGGCACAATAAAACCACACGATTTGGTTCCTGAAAAGCAGAAACTCTTCCAACTTTGTCAAAAAGTAGGAAATGAAATTTGAAGTGTTACAGGAACTGGACCCTTTATTAATGGAAATGAAAGATGCAGTCCAGAGCCAAGAAAATTGGTCAGCCCTCTAACCTGGAAATGGTCTCCAGCAGACAGCAAGGAGATCTCAGACCCACAAGTGCAAGGATATTAATTGTGCCAAGAACCCCAAAAGGCAATTCATCAGAGCCTCCCTTGAAGCCTCTAGAGGAACACAGCTCCCAACTACCCTAACACCTTGATTTCAAACTGCTGGAATTTGTCTCAGATCACAACCCCCAAAACTGTAAGATAAAATACTTGTTGTTTTAAGCCACTGAATTTGTGATATTTTGTTAAAACAAAAATAGGAAACCACTAGATACGAATAGGCATACAGACTGGTAATTTACTAAGATGCATAAAAGACAGGTTACAGAAGATACAAAGGCCAACAGAATCAAGTTTGAAAGAACCAGAAAGTACAACAGACCCATCTGCATGTTCAACATGAGCATCTGAAACAGGAGAGATCTGGCACCACAAGCACATTAAAATGTTTTTAAGCTCGGCTCTGGCTGTTGCGGCCACTTAGGGAGTAAACCAGTAGATGAAATATCTTCCTCTCTGTCTCTCCTTCTCTCTGTAAATCTGACTTGCCAATGAAAATAAATAAACTTTAAAAATAAATTTTAAGAAATAAATATACTGATGCAAAATACAACTCTGCAGGAATCTCACTAACCAAATATCTCAATTATCTAGAACAGTTTTTCAGAACTCTTAGTGATCAAAGAACTTTAATTTTAAACACAAGAATCCAGGAAACCTCAACTATTCATAATAAAGGAAGGAAATAAAAACTGTCCTAAAACCAAAATAAATACCATAAAATCCATGGCTAAACTAATACTTCATTTCCCTAGGAAAACTATTTACCCATTTTGTATATACTTCTACCAGTTAAAATTCAGACTCCTCACCACCATCTACAAAGGACATGCCAATCTGAATCTTACTTAGCTCTCAACTTGCATCTCATGCCCTTGTCCCTCTCACTCCTACATTTCTGGTCTTTCATTTCCTTAAGTACACTATGTTCTGCCTCCATCTGATGTCCTTTGCATGCCACTCCCTCTATCTGAATGTTCTCCCACTGGATGGTCAATGGGCTAATTCTTTTCCAACCATATGTCACAGATCAATTTTACCTCCTCAGAGAGGTCTTTCTTGATCACCTTCTCATTTTCTACGCATCCTGTTTGGTAATTTTCATGATACTGACCACAATTTCCAATTAGTTTATCCATGTTTGCCTGTCTCACTTCTCTAAATAAAGTAAATTCTGTGAACTCAGCATCAGTGTCTGCTTGTTTATATGTTATATGTACTATACTGAATGATACACATACTACACTTTAAGGTACAAAATGAACAGTTGATAAAAATGTTTAGGAGGAAGTGCAGGTGGGTAAGTGCCCAGGTTACAGGTCAAATGCAGCAAATGGGAGAGAAGGTAAGAACACTAGTAACAGCTAAACCATCTATCAGAGCAGACACAATAACCAAAGTGATCTCAAGAGATGAAGCGGATGAAGAGAATCTCAGGCCAGCCGTACAAGCACTGCACAACAGTGAAACCTACAGTCATAACAGCAACCAGTCACCCAGAAAAGGTAACTGGGATTGAGTTTCTTGTATCCTAAGAAAGAGAAATAGATTAAAATCTGTCCCTAAAATGGCTAAAAGCTAAATGCTGGAAAGCAACTGCCACCTAATTTTGAAGTGATTGCTGGAAACAAAGGTCAAAAGAGGTCAGGAACACCTTCCAAGCAAAGGTCAGACAGAGAAGACGGCTCACCCAGGTAAGCCGGGACAGAGGGGAGGGCCATACCCGGGAGTTACTGCCAATACGAGCAACGAGGGTGTCAAGGATGGTGTGGGTGTCATGCCGGTGTAACAACAGGAATCGCAGGAAAGTACGTAGCAAGGCAGGCTCTGAGATACTTCGCAGGAAGAGCTCCAGGTAGGCAGTACTGGCGATCATCTCCTCCACAGAAGTCTGCACCAATAGAAGGGAAAGTGAAAATTTAGGGTTTCCCTACCCATACCCTGAAACATGTCCCCTGCATTGTAAGCAAAAATCAGGAACTGATGGGAAAGAAGAGAGCAAGCCCCCACCACTGCCTCCCACACTGGTCTAGTCACTGGAAGGCACCACACTAAGGCCCAGACTCAAATCTGCTTTGCGACCCGTGACTCTCACCTTGTGCAGGGCAGGTCCCATAACAGGCACCAAGAACCCATTGTGAATATAATCCACCAGCTGCTTCTGTACCAGGGGATGAGCCACCTGAAAAGGTGTGAGAGAACAGGAAGATGAGGGACTGCTATCTGGATGGGAAAAGGACAGTACAGTCAGACCCTACCCCAAAGATGGCAGAACAGCAGAACCCCGGGGAAGACACCCCTCCTACTTCATCTCCCCAAAATGACGAAAGGCCATATTTCCTAGGAATCCCAGCCTACCTGAATGACTGCATTGCAGAACTCTAGAGAACTCATAAAGAGTGCAAGAGCGGGCACCCCCAGCCAGTCCTCTCGCCGCAGGCAGTGCCAATCATCTCCTGGCACTTCTATCTTTCGGGGCAGTGAAGAGTATAGGGCACTCAGCCCTGTGGCCAGCACCTACAGGAAGTGACCAAAGGCTCAGACAGTACAAAAAGTGGCACAGGAAAGCTACTATTCCAGAGTGTTGATATAAGTAGGGGTAAAGTATTGAACTATACACTGTGCCAGAATCTCACCTGGGAACATTGGCCCACCAAAAACCTAATATCTGCCCTGTCCGTCTGGGCCTATATTCTATCCCCCACAATTCCAGTGGGCTGCTTTCAAACTCAGGGGGTTATTTCCTGGAGATTTCTAGTATATAGCCTTTCCACAACTCCTGGATAGAAAGAGGCTGCTCAGTGTCTACATACCATGCCCTTTTCCCTCCCCAACCTGAAGGGATGCTAACCGGGCAGAAGTAAGAGTGATCCGCGATGTAGCGGCCCACGGTGGGGCTCCCAGCTGACAGAGCCATGAGCAGAAGGAGAGCATCACGGGCTTGCTGGCCCAGAGTGCCCTCTCGATGGACGAAAGGGACAAGGCGAGAAAACAGAAGAAGTCGGGGCGCAGCTCCAGGTTCCGGAGGTGGCTGAAGGAAGAACTCGAGTAATGACGGTTCCTGGGCCACACACACGCACAGCTGGCTGAGAAATAGCACCAGGCCTTCATCCAGTGCCGGGCTGCTGGGCACAGGGCGGCCACAGGCATCCAGCAGGATAAGCAGAGCCTCACGAACCGGACCATGCCGCAACAGTGGCTGGCGAGCTTCACTCACTAGCATCTCAAAAAGTTTCAGCTGCTCAGCCCGACGTTCCTCAACCCCATCCCCAAGCTCATCCCATTGCAGCTGCCATGCCAACACACGAGTCAGCAAATCCTCACGCAGAGCAAACTCCAACAGGGGCCCTGGGCCTGTGGGGGCTGAAGGGACTGCACGATCTTCTGCTAGCAGGGTCAACATCTGGTAAGTGTGGTTGCGCACAGCGCTGAGGTCATCCGCACCCCCAGGAGCTGCTCGAGGGCCTTGTCGCTCTAGGATTCGCACAACCTAGGGGTAAAGGATAGAAGATGGAAGGAATCTTTCATGACAAAGTAACTAAACACAATGGCATGTTTAGTTACCCAATGGACACAGCACTCTGACAGTCTCATACCTGGGACCAGTGATTCTTGAACACCATGAGGCAGGTCTCAGGATCAGCCATGACAGGTGTCTGCAGACTGGCCCCTTGAGGCACACGGTGCCCAGGGCCTCGAGAGGCCAGTCTGCTCAGCCAGTTCATCCTCTCCATGTGGCAAGCTGGGCAAGGCCAGCAGCCAGAGGGCTACACTCTGAGGATGTGCCAGTTGGAGGCTTTCTCCACTTTTGTCTCCAGTCTGCTTCATCCGGTCTGTAGGAGCCACTGGTTGGCCATCGAGCCAAAGGTTACACCAGATAGTAGTAAGCCAAGAAGCCACCGCCCAGTCCAGACTTGCAAATCTATTTCAAAGAGAGAAAAATGGAAGAAATAAACAGCAGCTCACTCTCTGTATTCTCCAGAAGGACAAATTCAGAACTACCACACCACTGAAAATTACACACACACACAGAGTCAGTATCTGAAACATCACATGTTTAAAACAGATCTCTTGATTTCTGCTTTCAAATCTTTTCTAATTCAATAAATATTGACACTCAATTGTATGCTAAGGCCAAAAATCTGGGTATCATCCTTGTTTCTGCTTTTCCTCCCTTCCAATATCCAGTCATCAGCAAACCTCTATCATTTGTTCTCTCAAAACATGCCTCGTAACTGCAATACCTTCCAATCTGGTCTGTTTCAATTTTTGTCCTTCTCAGAGTTTACTCTCCACATAGCAACCAAAGTAATATTTTTAAACCTAACTCATATCAGGTTTGTTCTCTGTTGAATATTTTCCAATAGCTTCCTTTGACACCAATAATAATCCAAATCCTCACCTTGGCGCACAGGAGCCAATATAAAATCAAATTATCTCATCTACATAACCTATCATTCTCCTTACCTATATTTTGGTCACACAGCCATCCTGAGTATGTCAGTTCCCTGTACCTGGAATATTCCCTTCCTCTTTACATTGCTTTCATTATAAAGTTCTTTTCAAATGCCATCTCCCCAGAGAGGCCTTATTTAACAATTTTATCTAACTAGCACATCTCCCCACCTTCATTTTCTAGCTGTCTACTTACTTCTTTGCAACTTTTACTCCCCACTAAAAAATAAACTCTCTGAGTACAGACTTTATCTTCTTTATTACTGTTTCCCCCTTACCATCAGCAATGCCTAGGGATGCACTAAACAGCTTTTAAATGGATGAAAACTTAGGTGAGTTGATGAATGAGCAAGCAATCAAGAAACAGCCTTGATCTTACTCAGCCCTCCATTCAGGATGAAATTTCCTTCTTTATAACACAGGTCCCTCTCTAGAAACCTTCCCAAAGCCTCTGCAAGATGGGCAAAAAACCACACACAACTGACTGAATACTCTTAAAAAAGGTGCAACTCAGAAACAATCAAACAGCAGATCTATTCTCACTACAGTGAGACACACTCTCACAGTCCTCATTTCTGCCAGGTACGTGCAGCATCCACCCCAGGATTGTAGCAAGATTCCCTCATAAGAGGGGTGGAAGCTGCCAAAATAGCTATTGGTCCAAGCTCCAGCCTACAGATCCTTCTCTGTCACTCCAGCCGAACCCTCATTAGTACTGCGTCTCAAGAGCATAGAACTTTGAGGGGAAAGATGTGGTTCTATTTGTCCTTCCTCTTGTCACTCAACAACAGCTCAAGGAGTTTAGACTGGGCACCATTCCCACGATCGGCCCTGAGGTCATAATAGACAACATCTCCTTTCATCCAGGTACTCCCACAATTACCACCTCACAACTAAAGAAAGGTAGAAACTATGCTCTCAGAAACCTTCTTTAGAGCAGAGACAGTCTTACAGACGGAAGCAGTCCTGCACAGCAGGCATGGCTTACTAGCTGATTAGCTCAAAGTACATTCATGCTAATGAAAGTACTGAACCTTGTACTAAGTAAGTACTGGAAATAGAGATGGATAAAAATAACTGCGGGAGCACAGACACAAATTCAGCAAATATTCTAAACAGAACTGTCACCGGGACTCAAAGGAAAGCAACTAACTGCCGAGAGTGCTGTGAAAGGATTCCGCAGAGGTAAATATCTGCCTTGGATCTTTAACAGTCAGATACTGGCTATGCAGAGCGCAGAGGGGCAAGCTGTCTTCATATTAAAAACAGCATATGGGTGGACAACTGGTTTAGTGGTTAAGGTACCATTTGGGATGTCCAGATTCCATATTAAAGTGCCTGGGTTCACATCCAGGTTGCCCTCTGGATTCCAGATTCCTGCTAACCCACACCCTTGGGAGGCAGCACGGACGGCTCACGGACTTGAGTCTGCCACCCACATGGGACGCCCAGACAGAACACCTACCTCCTGGTTTTGGCCTGGCCTGCCCCTATGGGAGATTCATTTTCTCTGTTTCTCTCCCTCTCCTTTTTCTTTCTCTGATAAACAAGATAGAAAGTAAAAATACATACATAACAAATAAATAAATAGATCAAGTATAGCATTAGTCTAAAAAAGAGGTACTATTTTCTCTGTCAATGAAAACAAAAGAGAAAGGATAGGGCCCGGTGCAGTAACCTAGTAGCCAAAGTCCTTGTCTTTCATGCTCTGGGATCCCATATGGGCATTGGTTTATATCCCAGATGCTCCACTTCCCATCTAGCTCCCTGCTTGTGGACTGGGAAAGCAGTCGAGGATGACCCAAAGCCCTGGTACCCTGCACCTACATGGGAGACTCGGAAAAGCTCGTGGCTCCCAGCTTCAGATCAGCTCAGCTCCAACTGTTGCAGCCACTTGGGGAATGAAACAGCAGATTGAAGAAGTTTCTCTATGTCTCTCCTTCTCTCTTTAAATCTGACTTTCCAATAGAAATAAATAAATCATTTAGAAAAGTATAATCAATAAATAAAGATAAAGGATGAGTGCCACTTCAGATAAATTTATCATGTCCCTCCACCCCACCCTTCCTTCTCTCACATGCCCACAAGAATGAGGATGGAAAAGAATGGGTAGAAAGGAGGTAAAGCCACAGACAGGTGCCCAGTCCCTCATACCGTTTTGTATAAGCCATCAAACATGGCCACAGATTGATAGCTATTAGCACCAAGGGTGCACTGGAAAAAGTACTTGCTCATCTTCCCCAGTACTTCAGTCCCAAGTAAATACGGACTGGGGAAGGCAAAGACAAAGAACTCTCTCCTGTTACCAGCCCTTGTTGCTGCTTTTAGCCTTGGATACCTTACCATCCCTTGTTGGTTCCTGAAACTCTGCCCATACCTTTGTTTACATAGTCCCTTTATTAAACTCTTCTTAAACCCAGCCTGGACCATCTGCCTCTTTGAAGAAGCCTGACTGATGAAAGAACATTACTATTTACAGAATATACTTTCTCAATCATATCTCATTCAAGGGTATCTCAAATCAGAGACCTTATGACCAAAAAAACCATAATCACAAAGCAGCAGTTAAAGTTTGACCTCCAGAAGCCCTCCAACAAAGGTCTGAATCTCAGTCCACCACTTTCCAGCTGTGTGGCTTCAAATAATTCACTTCACACATCTCAGCTTCAGTCAGTTTCCTCATCTGTAAACTGGTGAAATAAGCATTATTAGTTTCAAAACTTAGGTAACCTACAAAGTACTTCCAGTATAGAAATCACATGTTCCTTTTTTTCCTCCCCTCTCCCTGATCCTGTTTAAAAAATATCTCTGACGGAACAGAGGCACCTGACATGCTCTGATGTGTCCATGCTCACCATCTCACGTACATTACAGAGAGCATTACAGTGAGCAAGCACCAGGCAACATCCAAAACTAAACCACCTCCAGTACCAAGTAGTCTACCTGAGTTGCCCACCACTGCTTTACTGTCTGACCAAAAAAACAGCCCTGCTCACAGGCCTCAGGAAGGCTGCATCATTCCTCTCTCACACCTCTCCATTCTCTTTTCAAAGATCTCACAGAGTCAGTCTAGAATCGGTGTCTCAGAACCCAAGAGTTAACATTTAACCAGAGCACTGTTCACACACCAGAGAAGCATAAAAGAAGGCCACAGCTGCTTGTTTCTACACCTGCTTATATCCTTGCAAATGAAATCACCACGTGCTTACCGTACGCCCTTTCCTCCCATAATCAAGTCCAAAGTAGACCATCCCCTTCCCCAGGTTCACCTTAGGTCAGCTGCAGGACAGTAAAGGAGGGGAGGAGCCATCTCTTAGTCACACAAATGGCCAAGCTTAGGTAGGTATTGTAGAACCCAAAATACAAGGTTATAGGCAGACACCAGGCAAGAAGTAGCTCGGGCTCACTTAAGAAACTTTGTCCTGGGAGAGGCAAAGAGAAGGAGGGAAGTGGGGACAGATATACCTGGAATGTCTATGTCAGGCAGGGAGAGAGCAAAGGGACATTCCAAGAACAGGTCAATAAGGTCCTGGCTCTTCCTAGGTAATACTGACTGCTGACAAAAGTGGCATGAATGGGCAGTTACACCAAATACCAAAATTGGAAAGACCTCATCAAAACTCACAGAAATACAAAGTAAAAACAAAAGTAGGAGCCTACCAACTTGTATTCAGCCCACCTATATGCTCCCTGCTCGTCTACTCCTCAGACACATGGGATAGCAAGATAAGATCCCAACTCACTCCCTCCCTTCCACACAAAACACCTCTGCTTCTTAAACATATGTCCTGACCTGACTCCACCAGAGCCCTTACAATCCACTTTGTGAACCTCCGTCACACAGCAACTCCTCTTTACAACTGTGAGTCTTCATGTCACACAAAGCTATACCTACTTCTGTGAGGATGACAAAGATGGAAGCAGGTGAAATTGAACAAACAGCCTAACAGATAAGCCAAGGCATTCCCAGCAAGGAAGCCGTTATTGTGAAGATATCACTTCTGGAAAAAAGTAACATGTTTACCAGAGAACAGTGAACAATTTCTTCAAGCTCAAGCACAGACAAGGGAGTGGCAGGAGATGAGGCTAGAGAGGTAAATTCAAGCCAAATGATGCCATATAAGGAATTCTGAAGTTGTGCTACAGCAAACGAAACCATTAAAGTTTTTAACCAGAGCGATTATATATTCAGATTCATATTTTTTCTTTAGAAAGAGCATTGTAGTGGTAGAGTTTTAAGACAGCAGACTGTTTTAAAATCATATGAGTATTGAGTAGGAACTAGACTACAGCTACAATGAAGAAGACAAGTCAATGAAAATAAAAATAAGAAAGAGCAGATGCATTAAGATGTACTAAGATTTTAATGACTTATTGAATTCGGGGAAGTGAAGAAACAGAAAGGATGGAAAAAGGCAATGAAGTCCTTGCCTAGATTGAGACAGGTCATAGAGCTGTGAAACCAGGCAGGGCAGACAGTGAGGGCTTGGACAGGTCAATTTTGAACTGCCTGGAGATACACAAATTAACGTGTGGAACACAGGGAAAGCCCAGGTCTAAATAAGGAGACATTATCAACACCTACTGATACATTTTTACATTTCACATATTTCTCTGAATTGAAACAATCTTCTCAGTCTTCCAACTCAGAATTTCCTGAGACTTCAGAAGACCATACCTCATTAATCTTCTCTAATAAAAGATGAGCTTCATGAGGGCAAACTATTTGCTCAAGAAGACTTATCAAATCAATGAATTTATGTCCCCAGCATAGAAAGCCTGGCCCTCTGCATTTGTGCAATAAATGGTTACCAGAGAACTTAAAATATATTTCTATTTCTTCATCACCATTCTCATCTGTTTCATCCTCTTAGATCAACCACATAGCATTAAGCCATTGTGAAAATTCATTACGCTTAATGCACTGTCATTTCAACAAAGAGTTCTATACAGCAAACAACAAGCTTACGTAATCTCCAGCGTGACCAAGATTACGGACAGGACCTAGGAGTCCTCTGACAGGAGACTTAACTCCTATTGTTACTAAGATGTGATCTACTATCTAGAAATGACACTGAGGGAAGCAGGTTATGATTCCTCTTGGGGTGCCCACATTACATACCAGAGATCCTGGTTGAGTCCCAGCCACTCCACATTAGGCAAGAGCCTAATGTACCTGGGAGGTAGCAAATGGCAGCTTAAGCACTCAAGTCTCTGCCACCACATGAGAGATCCAGATGGATTTTCAGCTCCTAACCTTGGCCTGACCCAGCCCCAGCTGTTACAGTTTATGAAAGAGTTTATGAAAGATCGATCTCTCTCCTTCTATCATTCAGCTTTCAAGTAAATTAATAAATCCACCATTTACTAACACTGTTATTTCATTAACTGAAAGAGCATATTAATAGCAAAAGAATAAGAATGATAATTTAAAGACCCGGCTTGGTAGCCTAGTGGCTAAAGTCTTTGCCTTGCATGTACCACGATCCCATATGGGATCCTGGCGGCCCCACTTCCCATCCAGCTCCTCACTTGTGGCCTGGGAAAGCACTCAAGGAAAGCTCAAACCCTTGGGACCCTGCAGCCACATGTGGGAAACCCAGAAGAAGCTCCTGGCTCCTGGCTTCGAATTAGCTCAGCTCCAGCTGTTGCAGCCACTGGGGAGTGAATCAGCAGATAGAAGATTTTTCTCTGTGTCTTTCCTGCTCTGTGTAAATCTGCCTTTCCAATAAATTTTTTTTTTAAATCTTTAAAAAAATGAATGATCAAAATAAAGTTATCTTTAAACTTACTATGCTGTTTTATTTTTCTCCTTACTCCTGGGATGGATGAACACTATCACAGACTGAGTCCTTAGGCTAGTATTTAGGAACCCCTGCTATGAATTCCATAGAATTCGAAGTGGGCAGGCTTTCCCAGGGTTCCACAAGCATGAAGACTTGTTTGGCCTCTAAAGAGAAGTACAGACAGCTTACCACAGGATGTTACAGTTGCCTCTGAGGCCTACACTCAAGAATTAAATGGGAAATGAGACTACCTCTAATTCTTAGGGAACGGTCTGAACAAGGTCGCGCTAACTCCTTGTGAGGTTAGAGTCAAGATGTTGCAGTCCACACAGAGGAAAACTTAGTGGCAAGCAAATTTCGTTTGATCAGCAAAGCTCCATTTATTTCAATGGAGTTTCAATCCAATTTTCTAAAATTTTGATGCATTTGTTGGCTGACAGGCAGAAAGGGGCCAAAATTTTAAAAAAATAATAATAATTACAGGGCATAGAAGGAGTAAACCACAAAGGTAACAGGAGAAAATATTGGTCAAAAAGTTCAGTATCTTAAGGGTGCTAACGGCTTCACAAGTCTGTGTATAGGTCAAAACGCATCAAATTCTGCACATGAATATTTTAAATTTTAAATGTACACAGTAAGAGATTGAATTTAAATTTAAATTTTTATTAAAAATCAAATTGTAAATAAGAGCAAATAAGTACTTCAACAAAGGTAACAAGGACAACAAAGCCACCTTACTTGGGCACCTAAATATGTTGTTGCATGTGACAATCCATGCGACCTCCACGAAAGGATAAGCAGCACCAGAAAGTGGTCAGTCCAAACTACAGGCCAGCCATCGGAAGGACACACAACTCCTAGGTGAGGAGCAGTAGCGAGGCCAGGTCCCCCAGCAGCAGAGGAGGACACCAGCACCCATGGCCAAAGAACCTGCGTGACCCACGTCCCGGCCCCAAGGAAGAACGGGTGGCTGGGCTTCCAGGGAACCTCAAAAATGACTGTCTCACAGTTATTTTTTTCTGTCCTCTAAAACATGAAGACTCTATGGAAAAAGAAAAACCGAGCACACAACGCTTCCGCACTAGTTGTCCTACTTGGTCTACTTGCTGCTCTCACCGGACAGGACAGTCCACGCACTGGACAGGAGCCAACCGCAACAGCCTCCCCAAGTCTCACTCCTTCCTCCTCCCCGGCCTCCACCTGCCTCGCAATTCGCTTCCAAGCCGCAGGCTCCCGCCTTTGCCCTCCTCCCTCCTCCTCCTCCTCCTCACCCGGGCCTCGCCGGTGCCAGGGCTGTCCCTCGCTCCTGCCCTCGGCAGCCCCAGCCCCTCAGGGAGTCGCGTTCGCGAGTACCTTCCAGCTCGCGCCTCAGAGAGCAACGCAACCCTCCCACTGCAAGCCCGTTACCTGTCCATTCCGCCCCGGGATCTCACCCTGCTCCCCTACCTCCCATACTCAAGTCCATACCACCTGCCAGCCCCGCGCCCTGTCCCTGCACAGCCAGCGGTGCTCAGGCTCGGTGCCATCACTCTCCCTGCCCCTCACGGCCTCTGGCGCCTCTCCGGGTCCGCGGGTCCACGCCTACCGTCGGCTCACACACGCCCGATAGCGGCCAGGCCCTCAGGGCTGCGGTGCTGCTAGGTGAGTTCAGGCCGCCGCCATCGCTCCTCAGGCGCCCCAGCCGCGCCCCGCCCCGCGCCACACGCACCCGCGCCTCCGCGCACCACACGTAACCGCCCAGCGACGCACGACTGGCCAGTGGCGTGCCAGCTCATTGGCTAAACCCGGCCAGAGCCGGCGCGTCGACGCTCGTTTCCTGGCAACGACAGAGCGTAAGGGCGGAGTCGCCGTCGGCGTTTTGAGGGAGGCGTTCCGTCTCCCGCCGAGGTTCCGCCCCTCCGTTCTGTAAATCCCTCCCCTTACAGGGGAAGGCCTCTGGAGAGGCGGAGGCCCTCGGAACGTGGGTGGAACCGGCCGAGAAAGGTCGAACCGGAGGGCAGCAGGCGGGACCTACAGAGAAACGCAACTTTTGAGATGCGGGAAAAGGCCGGGGGCGGAGCTATGAGAGTGATGGACGGCGAAAGGGGCGGAGTAACGGGTGCCCTGGGCGAGTGGGCGTGGAAGGGGCGTGGGCCCGGAAGGAGGAGTCAGCCAGTGGGCGGGGCCGTGGAAACGGGGAGCCCTGTGGGGCTGAGGGCCAAGAATGTTCCATTCCCGCCGCACCTTGGAGTCCACCGTATTCTGGCTTTGACCTCCTTTCCTTGGCCCATCCAGCATCCGTGCTCTGTGCTGCTTTGTGAACTCTGGTCCAGGAACGAGGAATACGCGCTCCCTGTCTGGATGGTATCAGAACTGCTCTCTGCCCTCCAAAACCTCAGCTCTTTAATCAGATAGAATTGTCACACAGTGCAGGGAGTGATGTAGTAGGGGGACCGGCTAGGAGGAGCAATTAGCATGATGTGCACACGCGTCTACACAAGAGGATGAGGGGATGAACAGACGAAGGAGCTAGGGGAAGACTTCGGGGAGGAGATACTATCAAGAGTAAGATAAACTAAGACGGAGAAACAACCTTCTGATAAGGCCCACAGTTTAAAGTTTTGACCCGGTGTTAATAATCTGGCTTTGATTGTGCTTTTATGGTTCCAAAGATTAGGGGAACAAGAGTCAGTTCACATGGACTCCCTGTACTATTTTTTGCAACATTTCTGTAAAGTTAAAATTTACTCAAAATAATAAACTTTTAGAAAGAAAGAAACCAGTTTCAGCATACATGATAAGCCTGTATCAGAAAAACAAAGAATGAACAACATGGGGAGAAGTGTAAGCAGTCCAGTGTGCCTGGAGCCTGGGAAAGAAGCAGAAGAAACTGTGAGACGACGCCAAGGACACCAATCAAGAGTTCTGCAGGCTGAGATTTTGGGGTCCGTGCAGTGGATGTGGGGGACACGAAGGTGTGAAGAGTATTGTTCCATTGCAGGCAGGGCCGCAAAGAACTTCCCACTGTATGGCAGGGGATGTGTCTCTACAACCACCTGAATGCAGCTCCTCCTCCCTTTACGTGGACACCGGACCACCCTGCAGAAGAATTCTAATCCATTCAGGCATTGTTTGCTGCTGTGGAGTTGGCTTTTTTACTTAATGTGAGCTTGGAGATTAATGTCAATAATAATGTCTTGCAAAAGGGCCTTCTGTTATTCATACTGTCTTGGCTGTCCCCATCGACCTTATGCTAATCAAGCAACCTATATTTAGGGTTTCATTCTTTCCATGATCTTTACGTTCTCCTTTTCTTTGTGATACAAAATTAAGTTGTAGAATAAGAATTGTAGCAGGAACTTCTATCGTTTTTTTTTAGGTAAAACAAATGGCAGAATTATCCTTAGAAACACCCACTTGACCATGACGTAAAAAGTCTGAGCCAGAGTTAGACTGTTTCTGTATAAATAAAGTGGACAACTTTCCTGCGTTGTCCATTATGATCATGAAATCGTAGTGGTCCATTTCTTTCCTCTTTACGCCTCATCCACACACCCTTCTCGAGTTCCAAACTCAGCTGGAGCTGGACAAGGCGCTGAGTGTTTAGAGGTTTTCTGTGGGGTAACAGAGAGCTACAGAGCATTTATACCTGGTCAGAATGACTGGGAGGCTTTGCCCTAGAGCATACAGGAGCTGATGATGCACTTAAATGGGCATGTGGACATTGGACGGTAGATTACCAGCATTGAAGCAGTGGGAAATAAAAGGAAAAATAAGTGGAAGGATAGAAACCTTATTCTTGGCTTACAGAAGTTTTTAAAACTGTGAAACTAAAACTATAGCTTTAGAAGTCAGGACAACAATTACCCTTGGGAAAGTATTGACTGAAAGAGGGCAGATGGAAGATTCGGAGACACTGATAATGTCCATTTCTTAACCTGGGTGCTGGTTGCATAGCTATGTTCACTTTGGGAGATTTTTTTTTTTCTTACTTATTTAAAAGTCAGAGTCACAGAAAAAGAAAGAGACACAGAGAGACAAAAGGCTTTCATTTGCTGATTCACTGCCCAAACGGCCAAACGGCCACAATAGCTAGGGCTGGGCCAAACCAAACCTTCATCCAGGTCTCTCCTATAGGTGCAGGGATCCATGCACTTATGCCATCATCTGCTCCCTGCCCTGGACACACTATCCGGAAGCTGGATCAGAAGTGGAGCAACTGGGACTCACCCTTATGGGATGCTGACATCATGGGCTGTGGCTTTACTCATTACACTGCAATGTCAGCTCCCACTTCATGAAAATTTATCAAGCCATATACTTAGCACATTTTTCTACACTGTCTTTTTGTTCTGGATATTATGCTACATGACAAATTATCCTAAACTTAGTGCTGTAAAACCATAGTCATTTTACTATGCTCACAGATTTGGGGAATTGAGACAAGATAATACAGCAGAAATGGCTTGTCTGTTACATGATGTTTGCAACTTCATCTAAGAAACTCAAACACTTAGGGATTACTTGGGCTTGGTTCGTTGGATCTAGAGGTTTATTCAGTTACATGTCTAGAGGTTTATTCAGGGCTGGGACAATTCAAAGCTAAACTCAGCTGGAGCTGTCAAATAGAGCCTCACAGGGGACCAGCATCGTGTGCTGGTTTAAGTTCCAGCTGCTCATTTTCCAATCCAAAATCCTGCTAATGTGCTTGGGAAGGCAGCAAAAACAGTCCAAGTAATTGGGTCCCTGTCATGCACATGAAGGACTAGGATGGAGTTCTCTGCTCCTGGTACTGTCCTGACCCAGACCTAACTGCCACAATGAACCAACAGAGGAACTCTGATTCATTCATACTCTATATCTCCCCTCTCTCTCTTTCTTTCTTCTTCTTTTCCCACCCTCTCTCACACTCTAATTTTCAAAAAACAATTTTCAAAAATAGGGCCTCACAAGACAGTGACTACATTCCAGAAGGAAGCATCCTGAACTGGAATCAGCAGACAAAAACTATTGCTAAAGAGCCAGGAGGACTCTGCATGGCCTTTTATAATCCAACCTCAGAAGTCACACATTGCTCATCTTACACTGTTGGTTGAAACAAGGAGCAGTGTTAAAAGAATGTGTGGCTCTTTTCATAAAATTGCCACAATGTTAAATACTGGTCCTAGGGTGGTGGCTGAAAGGACAGAGATAGGGATTATAGCAGAAAGAGGCTGTAAATGGATAATGAACTTTGTTATGGACCCAGTGGGTTGAAGATGAATGTGTGATGTTCAAGTGGAAACTTCCAGGGAGCAGTAGCAATATATTTATATATATATATGTGTGTGTGTGTGTGTATACATGTATGTATGTATATATAATATATATTTGCACTTCAAGGAGATTCCTTGGAGCCATTAAACAGAAGAGGAAATCCTTTGGGTAACTGAGAGCATACAGAGTCAGGAAGATAGTAGAAAGGGGCCTAGATCAGAGTCTTAAAAGTACCAGCATAAAAGGGATGAACAGAAGCTCTTAAGAGAAGACTCAGAAGAAGCAAAAACCAAAGCAAGAACCAAAAAATACATGGTATCACAGAAGCCATGGGGAGAAAAGTTTTAAAAAATGAATTAGACTACAAATGTTTCTTTCAATAAACTTCTCCAAATACACAAATTGCCCTATCCCTTGACTGCAAGACATGACACGGATCCTCCACTGCTTTTAGGTAAAATCCAGGCGTTATTAGAACATCTGATAAATTCCCTGAACTGGTCTGTTCTCACTACTCAGCCTCCTCTCTCACCACCACTTCCCACACTTAGGCCTTCTTAAAAAAAATACTCAGTTGTTGTTCCCCTATTCCTGTGCTTGTTGCCTCCAGGTCTTTGCACGTTCCTGTGCTCTGCCTCTAGCACTCTTCATTCTGCCATCTATACCTACCTCCTATTCATTCTACAGAGCCCAGGCTCAATTGGGCCCCATCTCATGCACTGTAACACCTATTGTTTAAACATCTAATTGAATATTCACTAGTACCCTGGCAGTGACAGCCAATGCTCATTACCTGTGTGTCGATTTCCTCTTCCAGAATGTGAACTTCCAGAGGACAGAGTTTGTCTTATCCATTTTGTATTCCCAATACTTGGCATACACTGGCCAGCCACATGGCAGGCATTCTGATTATAACTTGCCAACTCACTGAGAGAGATGATAGTAACAAAAGGGACAGGTTACACAAGAACTGACAGGGGTTTTGTTTGAGTGAGACATTTAAGCATGTTAACAAAAGGGGGAAACTTAGAAGAGGTTGAGGATTCAGAAAAGACAGAAATAGCTGGAGGGATCAGACACCAAAGGCAACAGAAAGGGTAGGTGGCCCAAAGCACCATAGGATGGCTGCCATCACTTCATGCAACAGGAAGGTCACAGGTGGATGTCAGTGAAGATGCAGATAACAAAAGCTGAGCTCACATCTGATGAGAGAGGCATCTCCTTGTCTCTGGAGACTAGTTTAGCATCTGACACTTTTACATTCAGTAAACAGTTGTTAAGTCACCTGGTAATGAAACCCAAATGGCTAACTTGCACAAGACCAAACTGTCTGAGCCTACACGGGAATGCAGGTCTCATGACTTGCAGGGTCCTTAGGTAGTTCAGCTTGAGAGGCAGGATGTGAAAGAGGAAGACAGAAACAAGGTCCAGGCTTCTCTCAGGCAGACACACCTCGCCCCCTCTAGGGAACTCATTATGGGTGTTTAGCTCCACAGGTCTAAGCCCAAGCCCTAGGAGACAGGGCGGGCACTGGAGCTACACCGCTCCGCCCTTTCAGTAGCTGTTAGCCCTGGATGTGTTACTAAGAGCTTCCAAGACACAACAGTCACAGCCGGAGCCCAAGGAAGCCTCTTCCAGGAGTCGAGCACGAACCCCCACCTCTGCAAACCACTTGCTGGCAAAGAAGTCCAAAGCTTAGCTCAGACCCAGGCCCCAAACCACAGAACCATGAGCCAGGACAGCAAAGTGAAGACAACGGAGTCTAGCCCCCCGGCCCCTGCCAAGGCCAGGTGAGATGCTCTGGTCCCCAGCGTCGGATCTGTCCACCTCACTTGATGGAACCTCATTCCTCTTAATGCCTTCTCCAGTCAGAACTGCAGCATTGAATGTCTGCCCAACTCCCTCTTCCCCACAGAAAGTCACTGCCTGTTCTGGACCCGTCGGGGGATTACTACTACTGGTGGCTGAACACGATGGTCTTCCCAGTCATGTATAATCTCATCATAGTTGTCTGCAGGTTTGGCAGGGGTACTAAGGGGCCTTAAATGAAAAGGAGGTTAAAAAGTAAGGCAGGGAAGAGGGGCTGGCACATGGGCAGGGCTCAAAGAAAGAGCAGCACCCAAAAGAAGGATGAATGCTGATGGGAAGGTCCAAGGCACAGTGCTAAGGGGCTAAAGGGCAGCACATTTTACAAGAAAGCTGCCCTTAGCCAATATCTTCTGTCTCCACCCCTGACTTGCAGAGCCTGTTTTCCTGACTTGCAGCATGGTTATCTGGTGGCTTGGTTCGTGCTGGACTACACAAGTGACCTTCTGTACTTCCTGGATATCATAGTGCGCTTTCACACAGGTCAGTGAGCCCCTAAGACTGACCCTTCTTCAGTTTTCCTTAGAGAGCCTTGCTACTCTTAATAGCAAGGAACTCTCATTCACCCATTTCCCCAACTTTCCTGTGCCTCTGTGCTTCGTAACATCCCCCTGTCCATCCCAGAAGTTCTGGAGTAGTTACATTCCTTCTATGACTGGCCTCCCCAAGCCTGCCCACTGTAACCCATACTGAGCCCAGCTGGTCCCTTTCTCACTCCCACCCCCCCACTCCAGGATTCTTAGACCAGGGCATCCTAGTAGTGGACAAGGGGAAGATCTCGAGTCGCTATGTTCGCACCTGGAGCTTCTTGCTGGACCTGGTTTCCCTGGTGCCAACGGACTTGGCCTACCTGCGCCTGGGCCCACACGTACCCACTCTGCGGCTGAACCGGTTTCTCCGGGTGCCCCGCCTCTTCGAGGCCTTCGACCGCACGGAGACACGCACAGCTTACCCCAATGCCTTTCGCATCGCCAAGCTGATGCTTTACATTTTTGTCGTCATTCACTGGAACAGCTGTCTGTACTTTGCCCTGTCACGGTACCTAGGCTTTGGGCGAGATGCGTGGGTATACCCAGACCCTGCACAGCCTGGCTTTGAGCGCTTGCGGCGCCAGTACCTCTACAGCTTCTACTTCTCCACGCTAATCTTGACCACCGTGGGAGACACGCCACTGCCAGCCCGGGAGGAGGAGTACCTCTTCATGGTGGGCGACTTCCTGCTAGCCGTCATGGGTTTTGCCACCATCATGGGCAGCATGAGCTCTGTAATCTATAACATGAATACAGCCGACGCAGCTTTCTACCCGGACCATGCTCTAGTGAAGAAGTACATGAAGCTGCAGCATGTCAACCGCCGGCTGGAGCGACGAGTTATTGACTGGTGAGAAGCAGGGGTCCAGGCAGCAGGCATACAACCTGTGAGATGCACCTGTTGGGTTAGGCTAGGCAGTCAAAATATGGCTGCCGTTGGTGGGTCTGCTAGGCGGGCTTAGAGAAGAGTGACCTCCACTAGAGGAATCTGGACTTAGAGTTGGGATGGGTGAGAGAAGTATAGGGAAAAGGACTCCTACTTGAGGAAGGTTGGAGACCAGAGAATAGAAACTACCACCGTCTAGAAGGAATTCTAAGGTTCTGGAAGGAATGGGAGGAGAAGGGCAGTGCAGCCGAGGGATGAACCACAAGAAGATGGTTGATCATGTCACTGTTCTATACTGAAGACTGAATAGAGAGGAAGTGTCGCTTACATGGGAAGCCAGCACAAAGCATTTCTTGGAAGGGTCTTTGCTTGGTGGTTGACACAGCTATCAAGGAAGGTGGTGTAAGGCATCACTGATTGTTCGGGGAGGTAGATCCTGATGGGTAGCAGAGGGTAACTTATATTGTCAAGTGGAGACTTTTGTACCCTGAGTGGAGTATTAGAGACCAAAACATATCAGTGACCAGCAAAGCAGGTAACCCCGTAGGTACTCTCATGACCACTATGAGATCTCAGTGTGATTAACTATTAACTGAAGCTGATCTGATGCAAAGGCTGAAGGGAGAAGCCCCATTAAGAGGCTGGAACAGAAATGGCACTGTCCTTGCCCCTAGGTACCAGCACCTGCAGATCAATAAGAAGATGACCAATGAGGTCGCCATCCTACAGCACCTGCCTGAGCGGCTGAGGGCCGAAGTGGCTGTGTCTGTGCACCTGTCTACTCTGAGCCGGGTACAGATCTTCCAGAACTGTGAGGCCAGCCTGCTGGAGGAGCTGGTGTTGAAGCTGCAGCCCCAGACCTACTCACCTGGAGAATATGTGTGTCGCAAGGGGGACATTGGCCGAGAAATGTATATCATCCGTGAGGGTCAGCTGGCCGTGGTGGCAGATGATGGCATCACACAGTATGCTGTGCTCGGTGCAGGCCTCTACTTTGGGGAGATCAGCATCATCAACATCAAAGGTGAGCATCCCAGCATGTGCATTGGAAACAGGGCTAAGGAAGGTGCGGGAGAACCCAGAGCTGGGTTCCAGATAGTACTTCAAGACAGAAGGATTAAGGAAACTTGGTCCTTGCCTGACTTACCAGAGGACTCAGGAGAGAAGCAGGGCAGAGAGGGTCTGTTCCTTGAGGGGAAGCTGAGCCAAATCAGTGAGCAGGGTAGGTGCTCAAAAGAAAGTAGACATGTTCTGTGAACATTGACCTGAGACACCAACAAATCAGTGGAGAGTGGCAGAGATAATAATGATAGTAATAATTACAATCATTACAGCTCAGATTTATTACATGTATGCCCTGTAGCCCTTCCTAAGTGCTTTACATATATCAACTCGTAATGCTAGTAAGTATTAAGTAAGTAAGTACTAATAAGTATAAACTAAGCATTCTTGAGATGAGTACAAGGAACAAATGTTTCACAGCCAAGTGGAAAGAAAGGTCAAGGAGAAAAATTTTCCACATACTGACCATCAACTCCCTGCCAGGACAAGTAGTATATGGCTGGCTCATTTTTATGCTCATCAGGTCTGTGTAGGAGGCGTCATTAATGCCTGATCACAGGTAAAGAAGCTAAGGCTAGGAGCAACGTAAAACATGAATGGGGGGAGCACATTGTCCCTAACAGGGACAGGTGGACTGGAGACAGGTTCTCTTGGCCTGAGTGCCCCACCTTCCAGCAGCTCTAAAGGCCTCACATCTGTCTTCCAACAACCACCCCCGATACACCATCTCCACATCCCAGTCCACTTCTGCCTGTCTGACTTCAGACAAGTCAATTTCTGTTTTTAGGCCCCAATTTCTTCACCTATCCAATGAGATTAATATTTAAAACCCAAACAATGATTTGGGAGATCAAATGAGCTACATGAATAAAACATGAAGCACAGGGCCTGGCACATAGCAAGTGTTCAACAAATGGTAGCTCCTATTCCCCTTGCTAGGGTCCTTCTAGCTTTAAGACACTGCAGGATTCAAGCAACTCTATCTGTAGTATCTGCCCCACCCCAGACATCACCAGCATCCTTTAAAAGGCAAGTAAGGCCATTTAGCTCTCCTGCTTTGAATGTGTCAGTAGTTTCCCTCCAACCTCAGCATCAACTCTGAACATGGGAACAGCGAGCCTTGGTACATCTCTCCACCCTTCCCACAGCCTGCAGTTTAGCCACTCAGAGCTACTTTTTTGTTTTCTGAGGCCAGCTGACTATTTTCCATCCCTCTACTCGTGTTCCTCCCTCTGGCTATAGTGCCCTAGTGCCCTCTCCCTACACCCTTCCCCCTTTCTTTTATTGCCCCCTCTTAGTTCATCCTTTCCAGAATTCCTTGCTTTACAGCTTGGTAGGGGCTTCCTTCCTATGATACCTGAAGGACATGTCTACACTGCACAGTCATGCTGTTATGGAACACTCTTATTATGTATCTATCACCTCTAGAAAATGACTGCTAGACAGATCACTGATACCTACCCAGAACAAAGCAGAAAAAGACCCAAAAGCACAAACATGGAGGTGGCAATCCTGATTCAGGAGTGAGGTATCAGCTCTGCGTACCCCTGCTAATTGTCCTGCTGTCTTTCGGCCTCGGCCACAGGAAATATGTCTGGGAACCGCCGCACAGCCAACATCAAGAGCCTAGGTTATTCAGACTTGTTCTGCCTGAGCAAGGAGGACCTGAGGGAGGTACTGAGTGAGTATCCACAAGCCCAGGCCATCATGGAGGAGAAGGGCCGCGAGATCCTGCTCAAAATGAATAAGTTGGACGTGAATGCCGAGGCAGCTGAGATTGCCCTTCAGGAGGCCACAGAGTCCCGGCTACGAGGCCTCGATCAGCAGCTTGATGATCTACAGACCAAGTTTGCTCGCCTCCTAGCTGAGTTGGAGTCCAGCGCCCTGAAGATTGCCTACCGCATTGAACGACTGGAGTGGCAAACTCGAGAGTGGCCAATGCCAGAGGATGCAGCTGAAGCTGATGATGAGGGTGAGCCTGGAGAGGGAGCTTCCAAGGAGGGAGTGGAAAAGACTGGCCAGGAGAGACCCCTAGGCCCAGAGCTGTAGGAAAGCCTGACAGCAGAAACACTGCCCGGGGTGTTTGTTGAGGCTTAGAGACTGGAATGAATTGGTCTGTAGATGCTCAGCTAAAAATGCCCAGCTAAAAACTCTCTAGTACACCCATGCAAATACTCATTGCACATGCACACACTGGCCCAAACTGTGCATTCCACACAGAATGCTTTGGAATTCCTATTCTCAGACCACACATGCTTTCTCACAAGCTTAGATAGTTTTACACCACAGAGTATTTTCACGTGAAGTCATGCACCTCCTAAATACACACATGCTGGCAGTCACACACAAATAGGCACATAGATGCCCAGTAGGGATAGGCACATACTTGTGAAAACATAAAAGCATACCCAAAGCATCTTTGTCCAAGATGTTCTTCTCATGCTCTCCACAGGGGTGATTCACAATGGTACCTGCGGGTTATACTTGAAGAAAGCATTTGACTCCTAACTAAGTATGTGTGGGACTAGAAAGAGGAAAGCTAATGATGGACCAGGAGGAATATCTGAATTCTGAGTCACAGCCGCAAGAGCACAGGAGCTGTGTGTTAGCTGGTGACCTAGATTCAGAGAGTGGGATAACTGAAGAATAGAGACTTGATACTGAACCAAAGAGAACAGGCATCACATAGTTGTAGTGTCTTCCTCACATCCTTTCATGGTTATATTCACGCTCACACTCTGGCCTTGTATCTTACACCCTGGTGTGTGTTCTTCACTCTGTAACTCTGAGGGTTCTGATACAGGTTGGCAGGCCAGAGGAAATACTTCTGCTTCTTTTTCTTTGACCTGGCATAGCTCTGGAACCTGGGGAAGAACTTCCCGGCATAGAGGGCTGATTCCTGCAACAGTTATAGACTAGTGTATTTGGGAGTTTGGGGTAACTTGGTGAGTTTGAAAGGGGATCTGATACACTTCAGTGTATCTAGGGCCTAGCCAGTCTTCAAACCTGAGTTGTGTCAAGTGGTATTTAAAATGTGCTCAGAGCTTAATTCATAGATATGTCTGAGTAATGAGCCTCTACACTCGAGAGAGACTGTGATGGCCATTGCACTTTAAAATCTCTTATAATGTGTAGTTATTTTTAGGTAGTTATTTTGTTATATCTTCCTCACAAAATTAAAGATCCATAAAGCTGGCTCCAAGTCTGATATGTTCATCTCTATGCTCTCTGACCAATGCTGTACTGGGCAAACAGCAGGAACCTAAATATACATTTACTAGCAAAAGTAAAAGAAAGAAATTGAATAAGATAGAGGCTTTATATGCTGAAGAAAGACATGAATCAATTTCCTAAGAGGTTTTTCTACCATCTCTGCCCTCAAATCATGTGCTAGAATGGGTAGGAATGCTGTGAAAGTCTGTGATGGTGTATTGTTGGATGTAGGGAGCTGAGAGTGAAATTTCTGGGCATGTACTACAATGTGCTGCAATGTACATGCATATCTTCAGTGAAGGCTCTTGAAAAGCAAGTGCCAGCCCATCCAAACCTGGCCTATGGCACAGGTTTGATAACTGGCACATTCTGGATACAGAAGCAACACTGCTGGGGACAGTTATACATTTAGCTAGAATACCTCTGCTCTTCCCAATTACAGAGCTCAGATTCTGTGTGCTGAAGACCCCACTCCATCAGACACCCTGAAGATCAGCAACTCCACACTAGGGTCTCTAGTTATGGACCTATGTCCAACACTGAGTAAACACAATGACAATTTGGAGGTCAAGCTAGGTAGAATTGAATTAAGCAGTTACAGGAAATGCAAAAAATTTTTAAAAATTATTTTATTGCAAAGAATACTAGCAATAGGCTAACTTCTTACACTATACGTGTGAGGGAGATTTACTGAAATACTCATTTGAAATGTTTGTTTTATCCCTCCTTCTATCATAGTAAAATCTCTAAATCTTTGTATCCCCTTAACCTAAAGCTTTTGAATTGCACAATTAAAAACAGAAATGATGAGGAACAACATGCCCTAGGTTTTGTTTGTGAAAGCCAAGACTTGTAGATTTTCATCAACAATTCACTTATTGGTAAATTATACCCAATTGTCTTCTGTAAGAGGCAGAAGCTTCTTAACCTAAGAGGAGAGGAGATTACCCAAGACAAAGCAAAGAAGAAAGATTCTTAAAGGCTATATTTGCTTTCTTTTGGCTGCTGTAACATCTTTTCCCAAATCTAGCAACTTAAAACAGCATCCATTGATTGTCTCACAGTTCTGAGTCCAAATTCCAGGATTGTTCAGGGCTTCCCAAGAACTGACATCAAGGTGTCCACTGGACTGTGCTCTTAAGATTGTGGGTGAGAGTCAGCTTCCAAGCTCACCGAGACTGTTGACAAAATTCAGCTTCTTTTGAGTTTAAGACTGAAGCCCTGATGTTTCTTGACACATGTTCCCTTCAAGCCAACAAAGGCATGTGAAATCTTTCTCATTCTTTAAACTGCAACTTTCCTCTTCTACTGCCAGGTTGACAAAAGTCCCTGTTTTTTTTTAAAAAAAAAAATTATTTATTTACCTTGAATGTCAGTTATAGAAAGAGAAAAGAATTGATTTCTGGGGGACTTCCACCAACCTGACTACTGTACTTGCAGGTAAACAAGAGGCTGAGACTTGATGGTTTAGAGAAGGGAAACTAGAGCACCTTTTGAGGCCAAACCAATACCACATGATGGGTGTTGGTATCAACCACTGCCTGCCAGCACACATGAAAGCCATGACTGGGGGTCCTTCCTAGCAGTGCTCAACCACAGTACCTGCCAGTGAATGTTGGGGCAGGAGGTGGACCGTGCTAACCTAAGTTGGGCCATGACACTAACCAGCTCACAAGAGAAATGGGTCTGGGATCAGATTCTGTGGGGAATCGTGGACTCAACCCTGTGGGACTATTATACCAGCTGGTTTGATTAAGGGCTAAGGGTGGTGACAGACAAAGCTAGGTATAACCATGGAACTCAGCAACTCTCATGGGAACTGGGGTTGGAACAGACCAGCTTGGTTCAGGCTATAGCACCCGCAGGCACATCCAAGAATTAGATGTGTGGTAGGCCAGGCTGCAACATCCACTAGCTCATACAAAAGCTGATACTGAGAGCAGACTGCTGAATAAGAGACTAGTACCTGCTGGTATGCATGAGATCCGAGTCTGGGATGAGACCTGCTGGGGGAATTCGGGAAACACCCCTGGTGGGCCATCGTTCCTGCTGGTGAGCATGTGAGCCAGGGCTGGTTGCTGGTCAGGCCAGGCAGGGGTGCTTCACTCATCAGCAGATGTGTGGGTTGGCTCTGTGGGGGGTGGACCAGGCAGGATCAGGTCAAACCAAAGCACACTGGCATATGCAGGAGCCAGAAAAAGGTGCAGGTCATGCTGAGCTAGGCTAGGCTATTACATCTAATGGTTTACATGAGCTAGGGATAGAAGCAGACTGGGCAGGGGTAGACTGCAGCACCCACCAGCAATATTTGGGACTAGGAGCAGGCCACGATAGGATGGCTACAGCATCCCATGGCAAAGGCCAAAACAAGGAATAGGCTGTGCTGAGCTGGGTCAAAGCAACCGCTGGCACGCATGAGATCTGTAGCTGGAAACTGGCCTGATTACAGAACTAAAGGGAAGCTCCAGCTGGGTTGTGGTTCCCACTGATGAACAGGAGAGCCACAATAGGGGTGGTGATCTGGGCTAAACATGACTGCAGTGTCCCCCAGCATGGGTGTGAACTGGGTCTGGGGTGTGCCAGACTGGGCTGACTCCAGCACCCACTGGTGTTTGCAAGATCGAGAGTAGGTGTATCACAGGCTGGAATAGGTTTCAGCACTCATTAAGCCATGCAAGAGCTGTGTCTGGGGGTGAACCAGGCGTGGCTGGGTTGTAGCAGCCAACAATAAGAATTAGAATGGGTGTGGGCCGGTCAGGTAAGCCCACTGTTCCACCAGGACAGGAGGTAGACTGAGTCAGGATCGGCCAAAGACCCACCGGTGTGCACAAGATCTACCACTAGGAGGTAACCTGATAGAGGAGCTTGGGGAACTCCTCTGTCAGTTCACAGTCCCTGCAGGTGAGCACAAGCATCAAGGCTGGGAGCAGCCCAGACAAGGCCAGGTTCCAACACCCATCAGCATACATGTGGATCATGTCCGGGGACAGGACAGGCTAAGCCAATTCATAGCACCCACTGGTAGATATGAGAACCAGGACAGGGTGCAGGATGGGCCATGTTGGGCCACAATTCCAGCTGTTAGAAGCCAGATTTATGGGCCTTAGACTTGGCATACCTGACAGCCTGCTGCATTGCAAAGCCTGCCTTGAGCAAGCAGGGCCACAGCAAGCAGGATATTAGGTCAGAACATCCTGTGTAAAGCAAGCGGAATAGAACCTCCACCCTTGTTCCTGTTCAGATGATTAGTTCCTCCCCGGTTTCAATATAGATGATTGGTTCTTTCCCTGCTTCAATGAAGATAATTAGTTCCAGGAAACCCCTTCCCTTCCCCTCCTCCCCTAAAAAATAAGGTTTATATATAGGAGGAGTAAAATAAAGACCAGGAGGCACTCTTTTCCACTAAGTACGTGTGTCCGTGTGTTTCTTGGGCCAGTAGCCCGGGGGCTAGCAGCCCAGCATTCCCAGTCCACCCTCAGGGTTTGAGCACTGTGTCCTGCAGGTCGGGACAGCCAGCCAGTTCACAATAGGACAAGGACCTGGATCTGGCTGGGCTTGGCGATGCTATAGCACCCAAGCATGAGCTGAAACTGGGGGAAGGCTGGGATAAGCCAGGCTGCAGCATCTGCTGGTGGATGCTGAGGTGAGGTGGGCCATGCCAGTCTGGGCCACAACTCCCACTGGCACATGTAAGACCCAGGGTGGTGGAGGGGCTAAGCTCAGCAGAGGAGCTGCGGGGGTTTCCCTGCTAGGCCACTGTTCCTGCTGATGAATGTGAGAGCTGGGGTTGGGGGTACACCAGGCTAGGCAGGGCAACAAAACATGTTGGCCTCCAT